CGTGATTTGAATCACGATCACGACCCATAGATCGTGATTTAACCTTTCAAGCTTGCACGAACCGTTTCGACGCGGGGTGCTAGGGTTAGAACAGTGACACAATGTACTTATCATCGCTGTATTTCCTCGACATCGGTGACGAAATGTCGTATTATCAGTCACTTGACGCCTGTCACTGTCAATATCAGAAAAATGATAGGCTTTACATACACTCAATATGAAATCACCTTCTAAATCACGACATCCTGATTTGAAATCACCATCTTCTTACCCTAGCACCCCGCGTCGGTCTTTCCATCACGTCGAAACGGTTGGTGAAAGCTTGAACAGTGGTGCACGTCGTGAGTCAGCGGCGATGCCGACCGCGCGGACGTCGGAAACGTCCACGGAATGCTGAGATGTAAACGTCACGTGCGTTGCGCGCGTCGCGGCGACGCGACGTGCGCGCTCGCGCGCGTCGGAGCGCGTCGACGCGCGCGAAAGCACGCCTGACAACCGAAATGCATATTATACCTCTATCATGTACTAACCTCCGTTTCAAAAGTGATGAGACCATTCGTGACTCGTGATTTCGTGGAGGGGTCTTTTTTTGCGCTTTTTTCTTGAGTTACAACTCAGCGCAAATCGAGGGGGGTCGCAACTTTTGCAACATAAATTTATCGTGGGAGAGAAGGGAGTGAGTGAGGCATGCACGTGTCGCATAGTATCGAACACAGCCATACCAGCTGTAACAGAACCTCCAGGAGAATTGATGTAAAGGGTTATGTCGCGGCATCGCGCCGAATGCTACTCGGAATGCGTTGCGGCGACGTGCCCGCTTCAAGAAATGTCGGGCACACGTAGTCAAAACGCCATGTGGAAGGATGCACGCGGCGGAACGTGTCTGTGGGGATCCATTGGTGTTACTGTTCGCGATGCCTAAACCCTGGGTAGGGTTTACGCAGGGCGCGTTGACAAAATCATGTATGCAGCGTCAAGTTAGAAATGCGATGGCAATCCAACGCGTCATCGGGATTTGCACGCTGTAAAACTATGCGAGGCATTCAAAATGGGTCTGTTGTCGTCCCTTTCTGGCGTTTTCGTCACGACATAGTGGCCGCGTCGTCCGTTTCGCTTGAAGCCATGTAACTTTGAAGCATCAAGTTTTCCACGCACTGACGCATTTGGAAAAATTTATATCACGCCGCTTGGGAGAGTCCCTACATGACTGACGAGTCACGAACCGCCAAATACTTCATACATTGTGAATTTTAGCGTTATCATGCCATTGCGTCATACCGACTCCCGGGTGTTTCCACCTTGCGAAAATTCGTGAAAAACCTGATGTGTGGCGCACACGAGTGCATCCAGGCGTTGCGACGCAAACTTTAGATGATTAATCGCTCGCAAACAGTGACATATACTCCAAGTTACATGAATTAAGCAGTGACGCGTCGTTAGCACACTCACACGTGTGCCCACTGCATCATTTATGTCGCAGTTGCCTTCCACTGTCACCCAGAACTGTTGTATTCCAAACCCTATACAGGGTTTAGTCAGGGTTTAGTTAAACCCTAGGAAATGTTCATCGCGCCGAATACTACTCGGAATGCGTTGCGGCGACGTGTCCGCTTCAAGAAATGTCAGGCACACGTAGTCAAAACGTCGTGTGGAAGGAAGCACACGGCGGAACGTGTCTGTGGGGATCCATTGATGTTACTGTTCGCGATGCCTAAACCCTGGGTAGGGTTTAGGCAGGGCGCGTTGACAAAATCATGTATGCAGCGTCAAGTTAGAAATGCGATGGCAATCCCACGCGTCATCGAGATTTGCACGCTGTAAAACTATGCGAGGCATTCAAAATGGGTATGTTGTCGTCCCTTTCTGGCGTTTTCGTCACGACGTAGTGGCTGCGTCGTCCGTTTCGCTTGAAGCCATGTAACTTTGAAGCATCAGGTTTTTCACGAATTTTCGCAAGGTGGAAACACCCGGGAGTCGGTATGACGCAATGGCATGATAACGCTAAAATTCACAATGTATGAAGTATTTGGCGGTTCGTGACTCGTCAGTCATGTAGGGACTCTCTAAAGGGGCGATATATAAATTTTTCCGTTGAACACATGAGCACCTTAAAACACCCGCGTGTGCGGGCGCCCAACCCTAATCTCTTGCGCAAGACGCCCCAAAACACCTGCAATTTGCATCTGCAATTTTGCACTTGCATCTTGCAGGTAAAATTTCCCCCACCCCTATACTGTGCGCACTATCCGAGTAATCAACATAATCGGAGAGCGCTTGCCTGAGAATCCACCCGCGTCACCGTATCTCCACTTCACACGACAACGCAGTCATGGTGCTGGCTAGCAAGCTTACTCTCGACGTGCGATCATGCATCGGAGCAAAGGTATATTTCGTTTATTCGAATTCTGTGGGCAATTCTCGAAACTGCGATCACGGATCCTCTCACACTTGAAAGTTGATGGACTGACGAAACGCGCTTCCTCCACGCGATAGTCCTTGAGGACCGAAAGACCCCGCAACTCGGCGATCGGATCGAATAAAACGAGGTGAGTTACTATTAAAACATTTTTTCCGTCGTGACGTGAAAGACCGCGGTGAATGGCTGCGAGTTTCTCGGAGCACAAGTGATACTGACCAGCTGCTGATCGTTTCCACCCTTCGATTATAAGTCGCAGACAAACCAAGGTCTCAGCCTCCTCAGACAAGGTGCAAATTGTCAAACCCATCAATGGTGATCCCTTCATTGGAATGCTTGAAACGCCCGTGACATCCTCGCCGGATGTTGCGAACTTCCTTTCTAACTTGCCAGCTTATCGCACTGGTGTTGCTCCTTTACTGCGGGGAGTCGAAGTGGGCCTTGCTCACGGCTTCTTCGTTACTGGACCATTCATCAAATTGGGTCCTCTTCGTTCCACTGATGCAGCTGAGCTTGCCGGCTGCCTTTCCGGCGCTGGCTTGGTGTTGATTCTCACGGCTTGCTTGAGCATTTACGGTGCGACTGCTTTCCAGCGTGAGGAAGTGGTCGGCCTTAAAACGCTGAGTGGCAGAACCATCGCAAAAGATCCACTTCAGTCGTCCGAGGGTTGGGCTTCTTTTACGTCCGGCTGGCTTGTTGGCGGTCTGTCCGGTGTTGCTTGGTCTTACGTTCTCACGCAAGTCTTGCCGTACTACTCATAAGTCGTTTGCCAGGTATGTTGCCACCATAACATCTCGTCATATCCCGCTAGACTTGTGAAATACGAGATCAAACGACAGAACTTACACAAACGCTGTGTTTATTGATTCGCGAAGCATTATGACGTAGCATTCGTCTTCCGAGATCATCAAAAATGTTCCGTGGCGACGGCGGACGTTTCTTGAAAGCGGAAATGTTCCCAAACTTGTGTCTGCACAGCATGTAGTCTGCGACACTCATGCTCGGGGTGCTGTTTCAAGGTATATCCAGGAGTCATCGCTTCGACAATGTCTGCCGTCGTTACGAATCGACTTGGATCTTGTTCCACCTAGGAGCTGAACTTGACGAGCTTGTCGAATTTGGCGCTCTTGTCGTTGGCGCAGGCTGCAAAGAAAACTTAGCCATCTGCGACGTGCGACACGAATTCGAGGCCATTCGTGTTGTACAATTGTCGCTTCAACAGGACGTTCAAGTCAAGCGGTGATGGCTGGAGCGGTCCAGTGCGCGCGAACGGCAACGCGATCGAGAAAGATGTGAGCGAGTTTTGCCTCAAGCTGACATGGATCGAGCATACGCATTCGGCGCCGTCGCGGGGCGCGTTCGCGAAGGCGGTCGCGACGCGATCGCGCCCAGAGCCGCACTAGGGGCGTCGCCGCGCGCTCGATCGATTACAGATAATACGACATTTCGTCACCGGTGACGAGGAAATACAGCCGTGATAAGTAAAATGTGTCACTGTTCTAACCCTAGCACCCCGCGTCGAAACGGTTGGTGAAAGCTTGAAAAGTGGTGCACGTCGTGAGTCACATATTATACCTATATTACATCTGTCATGTAATTTTTTTATGTAAACTCGGACACTCGGACAATTTCCTCCAAGGTGGCGTCACGACGAGACAGTCGTGATGCTGGTGCTCATCACGATGTTTAGGCTCGTGATGCTGGTGCCCATCACGATGTTTAGGCTCGTGATGCTGGTGCCCATCACGATGTTTAGGCTCGTGATGCAGATCGTGATGCTGATGCTAGCCAACGTGCGTCGCACGTTGCGTCAAGTCGAGCGCCATCGAGCGCCATCGAGCGGGTTTTGTATTTGTAAACTGATAAGTGAATGGTCACTACAATATGTGATAGTGACCCGCGGAGCAATACTTGTGAACATGGGAATTTAAGTGAAAATAAAGCTCTAAATATGAAGCAGCGGCTACTTTTGTTGTCGTGAGACTCCACAGCGAACCGCCCGGCACTCCGCCGCCGCGTCGGTCCTCATTCTGTCTGCTCCCCGTCGGTCGTAATGGCAGCACGCCATCAGTTCGAGAATAGGTGAGCCCTTCTCTTAGTCGTACTCAAATATTTCAAGTTTCCGTTTAGTAATGAAATAGGCGTGTTCGCCGCGTTGACAAACTCTTACTGCCTTGCAGCCATAGGCGGTTCTGAAAACTTTTACAGGTACATGAACTGGCTACATGTTTGTTCTAATTCTGATGATGAGGGTCGTGAAGCGTCTTCGAAGCGGAAGTTGGGGGCGAAGTACCTATCGTTAAGGCCAGCTTGGCAGGTACTCGGTTAGTGGGGAGGCTGAGCGTTGGTACGTAGCGCCACCATAGTAAAGAGTTTGTTGAGTTGAACGTTGGATTTTACAGGAAATAAGCATGGTCTACTGCTTCCAACTTCGGCAACCGATCAAGGTGATAGAAATTATCGCTTTACGTCACGTTGACATTTCTAATCAAGTGAATTCTTCACGCAGAGGTGATGCACATCCGGAACTCTCTTCCAGACGAGGTGTTTGTTCAGCGGACTGAGGAGAGACTTTCAGGTACTATCTTCAGTTTGTCAATGCACTCGAACTCAAGAGCGCATGTGTGCATCAGCTCTAGGGAACTGTGTGGCGTGTAACGATCATGTTGCGCTTGTCCATCCAGATATTGATCAGGAAACTGAAGAGATAGTCGCAGATGTTCTCGGAGTTGAGGTATTTCGACAGGTATCTTCATGAGCTTCACGCCGTTTGCTCGACTACTCAATCCATTCCATAGAGCGTTGCAGGTAACGTTCTGGTTGGTAGCTTCTGTAAGTTCTCCAACCAGGGTGGTATCGTGCACCCACAAGCATCAGTACTGGAAGTGGACGAGCTATCATCACTTTTACAGGTAGGGTCATCAGAACTGAAACGATGGCTGGATCTAACGTTTTATTTACAGGTCCCTCTTGTAGCCGGTACGATCAATCGTGGTAGTGATGTCCTCGGTGCCGGTTTGCTTGTGAACGACTGGGCTGCATTTTGCGGGCTAGATACCACTTCGACAGAGATCCAGGTATTGTGAAAATCCTCAACATATAAACATTCTTTTCATCCAGTATAGGTCATCGAAAATATTTTCCAATTACACCATGCGGACTCGAGCAAGGCAGTGAGGGATATACGTGCTTCACTTCTTGACACACTTGTCTAGCTCAGTATGTGATACTGTCAACAGAACAGCAAACAATGTAGCCATTAAATGGAGAGCTGGTTTTCGTTATCCGATGTCGTCAGCGTACGTCGAACGTGTAAGAATATCGATATCAATGATAATGTCTGAATTTTTTCGCTGCTTGTAAAACTCAGCGCGTGTTCAACATCAGCGAGTCCCTTCAGTAACTGTGACCTAACCTGTACCGACATGTGCAAGCTGAAGAGAGTTTCGGACATTTCCTTGATGAGGTCCGTCAATGCGAAACTCTTCTCAAGCTTCAAACGATATAGATGGTTAAGTATAGACTTCATTGGCTTCTCAAAGAGGACTTGGAGAAATTCTAGCACTTCGCACCTGTCAAGTAACCCAGTCGTTGCATGAATGGTTGCCGAGGTTATTTTGGTCGAAGCTAGATGCAAACTTTGCAAAACATTCAGAGACCTCCTCATGTCACCTTCGCCAAGCCTCTGTATAGTTTGTAGCGAAGCACCAGATATTTGAACTCGCTCGCTGCAAACAACATGTCGCAAGCGTTGTAACATCGCCTCCGCCGGAACTGGTGCAAAACGGAATTTGGTACATCTACTCTGGATTGCCGGGATAATCTTAGATGCATAATTGCAAATCAAACAAAATCGGGTGTGCTGTGCGTACTTTTCCATGATTCTGCGAAGTGCAAACTGTGCATCTTTCGTCAAGCTATCGCATTCATCCATTATCACGAGTTTGAAGGCTGAAGAGAATGGACGAGCAGTTGAGGCAAAAGATTGAATCTCATCTCTAACAATATTGATACCCCGCGAATCAGAAGCATTCAGTTCGAGAACCATGTTAGAGTGATTTGACTCATAAAGCTCTCTGGTAAGTGCCAGCACCGTTGAGGTCTTTCCTGTGCCCGGCGGTCCGTGAAATAGCAGATGCGGTAGGCGACCATTAGCCGCGAATTTGCGGATGACATCTATGATCGTCTCGTGCGCCACAACCTCACTCAAATTAAGCGGTCGGTACTTTTCTGTCCAAGGTAGATGTTTTTCTGTGGACTCTTCAGCAGAAACTTTCTCGGGCATTTCTGTACAGCGCACAATGTGAAGACCTTTGATATTAATATGTACACACTCTTATCGGTGCAACTTCGAATTGAGGTGAATTCGAACTCGGCTGTGCAGCAGCACGCCGCTGGGTTGTAGCTGTACCTGCGGTCTACTATTCAAGTTTCTTCCAGTCTACGGACTGTCTGGCTACGCATCTCGGATAAATTTATAGTTTATACCCCGAGTTATGCGCAAACGACTAAGAGTCGATTTTCATAACTTTTCGATAACTTCGTCGCGCTCACGAGTCGTGAACACTGACTATTCCGCTTAGCTTAGCAGAATAAGAATAAGAATAAGAATAACGCCGTTCTTATTCTGCAAAAAATCAGAATATAGTCCCTATAAGGAAAATTTTTCGGACGTTTTCGCGCTATTCCGCTTAATTTCGGGGAGTCAAACCCTAACCAAACCCTAACCAAACCCTAACCAAACCCTAATTGACGAATCCTGAATCGTCCGCGCCCGAGGGACGAATTTTGCAGAATAAGGAGCGAAAGCTTATTAAGCAAAAATGTTAGGATTATTGCAGGCTAAATATGGTTATATAGCCTTCACGAGTCCTAAGTATATGACGAGTCACAACTCATAATGTGTAGACTCAAGAGCTCGAGACAGCTAGCTTAGACTTTTAATGAAACATCAGATCTTTACGCACAGAACGCGCTACGACGCGATCACCACGGGACCTTAAGCTTACAAAAAACGCGGAATAGCTATTCTTATTCTTTTCAGAATAAGAATAAGAACAAGAATAAGCTCAGCGGAATAGTCATTGGTCGTGAACCAGGGCGTCGGACTTCGTGTGATTAAAGTGAACGGACATTTGGGCAAATTCCACTAGTTACGGCTCGACCTAAGAGTCGAATTCGATAAGGCCCGGTACCAGATGCAGCAGGCCTAGTGAATTTAACACTGTTTCGGCTAACGTCGACACTCGCTGTCGAACGTTCAACACACAGCCTCGCGAGCGCACGTATTGAACCCGGTAGTGCCCGAACCGTTCGCGCCAACACGCCGAACAAATGCTCGAGAACCTTTAAGATATCAATATCAAACACAAAAAACACTCGCATGAACTCTTTCACTCGGAGCTCGAAATCCGTCAGTTACAGTGCTTCAGCGCGTCGTTTCTGTAGTCCGACAATGCGCTCGTCGGTCGTCCACTGCACGACAGTATTACTGAAGCCACAACAGCTGAATGTGGACGATTTTGTCGATTTCGGACAGGAAAGGCAGTTGCCATTTTCTCTGGCACTTGGTTTATAACTATACCTCAGGTCGTAACGTGGCAAGAAGACGGCACCGAATTTTCAAGCAAACGGGTACACTGAATGTTGATACATTCGTCCTGTGCGACTGATACCGTAAAGGACGCACAACTTGAGCTAGCAGATGGAGTTCCCCGCCTATACATCATGCGTCTCCAAAGTAAGGGTGGGCGCCTGACGTTTCAAGAGATGAACTACCACGCAAAATCTTCGCAGTCGCTGGGCTCTATTTCAGGAGCAGTGTGGTAAGCCATTCAACTATATGATATCGAGAACGTTTTAACTCGATCCCAGGTATATTGCAGTGGCACGTGCAACATTTTCTGAAGCAGTTTTTCCGACGAGCAACGATATAAGCGTGTTTCGAGTTCCGGGTAAGTCTCGAACGCATCTGCACAAATCATATCTAAGTCGTCTATGGCATCAGGTAATGCATTGATCAATCTTAAAAAAGGCACGTGGCATGCGGGTCCATTATTCAAGGTTGGCAAATGTGGATTTTTCAGCGCTGTTTTAACTATCCTTCAGGAAAACACGCGCGACTTCATAAACCTTGAGCTTTCAGATACAAATATCAATGATCGTCACAGTCACCTTTACTCAGTGGGTGAGTGTAGTACTACCTTCATCATCGAGGACTACACATGTGAGAACTCAGTTGAAACTATTTGATGAGACTCCCATACTAGCAGCTAGGATAAATGTGGGACATTTCGTTCGGGAAGATTTTGAGTATATAGCTCACGATATCATATCATAGATGTCCTGTGTTATTCTTTATTTTTCGTGGCACCGGTAACAACAAAGACAAAGTTATCGAAATGAGCTCTGTGTCATTTGCGCATAACTCGGGGTGTAAAGTTATCGAACCCTTCTGCTCTTAGTCCCAATGACGATAACTCTGTATTGAGTCGGAGTTATGGTCAAAGTTATCATCGGCGCTCTTAGTCGCCCTTACATGATGTCATCATTATTATTTGTTAGGATAGGATTATTGCAGGCTAAATACAGTTATATAGCCTTCCCGAGTCTTGAGTACGTGACGAGTTATGACTCACGACATGTAGACTATAGTTCGAGTCAACGGGCTCGCCATTTTTAATAATCGGCAGATCTTTACGCATAGAACACGCTAAGCCGCGATCACCAAGTGTACTTGAGCTTACATTATTCGGTCATTTTACACACGACTTCTAGGTTGATGGCATCACGATCTAGTCGTGATGCTGGTGCGCATCACGATGTCGTGATGCAGATCGTGATGCTATATTGAGAGTATGTAAAGAGTATTATTTACTGATATTGACAGGTATACATCACTGATAGGCATCGCGTGACTGATACTACAACATGTCGGCACCGATGTCGAGGAAATACAGCGATGATATAAGTAAAATGTGTCACTGTTCGAACCCTAGCACCCCGCGTCGAAACGGTTGGTGAAAGCTTGAACAGTGGTGCAGGCCATGCGTCACATATTATATCTCTATTACATCTGTCATGTATTTTTTTGTGTAAATTCGGACACTCGGACAATTTCCCAAGGTGGCATCACGACGTGACGGTCGTGATGCTGACGCCCATCACGAAGTTTCGGGTCGTGATGCAGATCGTGATGCTGATTTTACCCAACCTAGCACGACTTACAAACTTACAGTTGCGCTATTTCATTGAGAACTTCGTGTTCCTCACTATCTCGCAGCGCTTCGAAATGATATTCGAAATGCTTCGCTAGAGCACTCCGTGTTTGATGCAAAGTATGAGGTTGATATTCAGCGGCTCCGGAGCATACGTATAGTTCGCGACGTCGAAGTTGGGACCGTACACGCGGTGCATATCAGCCGCGTTCACTCGACGCCAGTCATCCCACGGGCGGTAGAAGCGCTCAAATCGCACGTTAGCACGTCAAGAGAAGGAACGCCGTACAAAGAGTAGAAGACGAAATCGATACGTAGACACAGTGCGCGGAATAAGTCGGTTCTCGTCGCGGTTCTCGTCGACTAGTCACATTGGTACCTGCTCGTACCAACTTGTACCAGCCGGTCGATACTGTTTGTCCATACGAGTTGGGCGATCGGAAATTCGGCAGGTACAGCTGGTACGTACCAGAAATTCGGCTGGTGCAGAAATCAGCTAGCCCGATACAAGTGCGGAGTCAGGGTCATTGACGATGATTCATGATGAGCGATCGATCGACGCAATCTCAGTGCGTCGGTCGGGTCAGCGGTCGTTGGACATGGTGCCGACACACAGTCGAAGGCAGAACTCGGCCAACCGAACGGGAATAAGTAAGATGTTGAGCGGAAAAGGAAGCTTGAAGGCGTACATGATCTGCGTCCAGAATCCGGTCATGGCGATGACGAAAATGGTCAAGTTGAAGACCGTGCCCTTCTCGTCGATCGAGTTCGGAGAGAGGTACTTGTGGCGAACGAGGTACGTGAGGAGTCCTCTGACGAGGAGCTGAGCGCCGCGCGTCGCTGAATGATACGCCGTGATCGCTTGTTGCACCAACCACGCCGCTACGACGCCGACGATTTTACACGCGTATCTCACCCCGGGCCCGACCCATTTCTGATACTCCTTCGGCGTGCTCATCATCAGCGCCGGCGTGAGGTTCTCGTCCACGATGTTGTGCACGATGTCCCCCACCGCGACTCCAAGCGAGACGCACGCGGCGAAGTGCACGCGCAACGTCGCTACGACTGCAACAAAGCCCATGTAAATCGAACCCAGCGCATCGCTAAGCTGTTCGGGGTCGACCGCCTTGGCGATGACACCGCACTTTCGAATCACCAGCGCGCGAGTGCCAATCTCCTGCGTGTCCGGTATACCGTTGTTGTCCTCATCCAACTCGTCGTCCTTCAGGTTTGCTCGCTGCGCCGCCTCGATGTTTCGCCACAGTATCACCAGCGCGCTTCGCGTGCTCGTGTACCCGGTGATTCGATACGCCTCCACCGCCGCCGTGAGAGTGGCAAAATATCCACCGAAGAAGCACAGGAGAAATCCCACGATCGCCGGTCCGAACTCCTGCGGGTGGTACGGTTGAAGCGTTCGCCACGCTCTCCGGCATCCTTCGAACGCGGCGACGGCGTAGGGCTCGCTCTGGGCAGCCAGGCGGCTCGCGCCGATGATCGCGGGCGCGGCTTGGGCCAATATCGTTGGAATCGCGGACGACTCGACGACGGAGGACGAAGTGCTGGGCTCTTCCCGATCGACCGCGGGGGTATCCTTGGGCGGAGATGAAGCCGTTCGTGCTTTTGATTTGACCTTGCGCGAGAACATCGGCATCTTGGAGACGCGAGAGTGGGGTTAGTGTCCGAGGCGACAGAGGAGCGCTCGAATGGATATTACTTATTACACCACGCATTTCCTGAGTAAGACGCGTCTCGGACCAAGAATGCCGCCGAAACCGTACCACCATGGATCTTCACCGTATACGACGTATCCTCGACGCTCGTACATCGCGCGCGCACTCTGGTTACAGACGTCCACGTGAAGCCACAGGTGGTCGTATCCCCAGGAGCGAGCGGCTCTCTCGCACTTATCTAACATCGAGCTCGCCGCACCTCGACCGCGAGCCTCAGCTCTGACGGCGACATTGCTCACGTATGGTACTCGAGGTTTAATCGATGGAAACGGCTCGGGAAGGAGCGCCTCGGGGGTGCACACGCGTAACGTTGCACTTCCGATCCAACCCTCGCAGCCGCCTCCCTCCTCGAACCGCGAGATGAGCGTCAGACACTGACGCTTCGCACGCAGTCGATTCTTCCGTACATTATTACTCTCACTGCTCGGAAGTTCCGTTCGTCTGAGCTCCTCTCCCGCTCTCTTTCGCTCCTCAATGTGAAACGTCGTCAAGTGCGCGAGCTCCTTCGTGATGGACGACGCATACCAGTCGTCCAACTTGCTTCCTACCCAATCCACCACGTCGTCCACGAAGTCAGTCCCTGAGAAACCTCCCGAGCTACTCGCTGCATCTTCCGATACGCTTCGTCGTTTGTCGTCGCGCGCGCCCTTGAATGCGCGCGTCTCCTGCGCGAAGGCAACGCCGCACACGCGTGCCGCCGCCTCGGCTCTCGCGCGTGTGTCCGCCACGCGCACGTGCACGCGAGCCGACGAACGCGCCGAGATCGAGCCATTCGTCGAGCCTTTCTCGCTCTCGGTGCTCGCGTTCACTTCCGAGGTCGCGCGCGTCGGCGAACGAGCACGTCGGCGCCTCGCGCCGATCTCCGGGCGTTTCGGATCAGAAGCCGTCGCCGCGCCGCGCGCTCGCGCTCTAGGAGACGATCGGGGCACCGCCGACGCCGCGCAAGATAACGCCTGTCCAGGACTCATGCTCGAGAGAGCGCTTGAGTGAACCCGAACAGCGACTTGAGAGTGGGAAAAGGTTTTAGTTTCGTCTCACCGTGAGAAGGAATCAGCGACATGTCGAGCGACGACGACGAGCCCTTTGAGCTACGAAGACGCTCAAGGAGGAGTCCAGTCCTTCCCTGAGCTCTCATGCTCACACTCTGCCCCGACAAAAAAGTTCAAAAGTTCGCGCACGCACGTTTTTTTCGACATGTAAAATACTGTGGCGCTTCACAAGTATATGTAAAATCTTTTAATCCGCGATAAAAATTAAAGTTTGATTCTTGACGAGTCACAGACCATCAAGTTCCCCATGATATGGAGGACAGTAGTGAAAATTCCCGGATTCCCACCCCAGCTGGCACAAGAACCCTATGATTTCCCATGTGACGCCGGTGTCACCTCAGGAGGGAACAATCGTCACTATGCCACGAGCTAGGCGCACTCGTGAGAGGCTGCCACCGAGCTTCGATCTGATTCTACTGGGTACTGTTCCTCGACGTTCTTTAGAACTCGCGCATAACGGCGCGGCGAACGATGCAAACTCTCCGTAAGGAAGTCGCGGTCTCGATCGGGCGAACGATACGCTATTTTTCAACCGGTGTATGTCGTTAAGTCTCCTCTCTTTCTTTCCTGACATAATTGGATAAGATGTTCAAGGTGAACTCGCCGGAGACATTCCAACCGTCGAGCACAGCTGAGTGGCGTCAATGCTCACCATTTCCCACGTGGACCAACGCACTGCAGGGTTGGACCAGCACAGGTAGTGCTGACCGATTGAACCAAACAGGAAGGAACACTTCTCCCGCAGATAGCATTCGCCATGGTAATATCGAGTTTGTCTGTGTCTCTCCGCTGCGCAAAGCGCACTTTCATAACTCAATTTTACCAGGAGTTCGAGAAGTCCACAGGCCCAAGAGTTATGGCGATAATTTTTCTGTCAGTAGAAGAGGATATCCGATTTGGCCGTGAGTTCGTTGTAAATTGATTGTTTCATATTAAAGAACCACAGTTGTGATGATCTTTGCCATGTGAGCACGTTTGCGTGCCGAACCCCCCCCCTTCAAGTCGCTTTCGTGCTCAAGCTCAGACTGTGTTTACAAGCTCTTGTGAACGCTGCCTTCACCGACGTATGTATTTGTGCGCCAGGACTTTCAAACAAGGGACCCTTTCCTGATAGTCTTGTGAAAATTTGAATATCATCCCAGTCCTCCCTCGTGAAGTGGTAAGTATGCATAAAATCAAGCACATTTTCTACGCCTGCTAGTTCTTTGCCGCCACGAGCTTCACTAAAAAGAGGCAGGGTCAGCAATCTTCTCACCAGGTTCATATATCTTAAACAGAATTCCCGTGCGCTAGTACGAAGTATACCACTTGCACAAACATGCATATGCGTCTTGTGCAAAAGACGTTGTGACTTCGACTTACTCGATATCCTACCCAAACAACTCGGAAACCGATGAGTGTTACGTTCTCCCTGAGCAGATATTTCTCTGGCACCAGAAACAGCCGAAGATGGCAAGACAGATGCAATAACATTGGCCGATGGTAGAATACTCCAGTTTTGCGTCCTACTAATAGTACTCGCGAACACGTCCCCCTCCGAAACACGTGAAGCCGCTGCCGCCATGTGGACAAGTCGCTGCAAGTCACTGACGCTATCCTTTGGTCGCATGCACGGATAATTCTCATGCACAAACAAGGATAAAAGATCTCCATGTGTAAAGCTCAGACTTAATCTAGCATCGAGCGTGCCATGAACGGACGGTCGAAACATGACATCAATTGCTTGAAAAACACCGAGAGAGACATCTTTCTTCACCCTACTTGTTTCTTTTGATTCGAGTATTGCGCCCATACTCCAAAGTTGCAACTGATTTATGATTGATCGCAAGTCATTATTATTCGCTTCAATTAGGCTATCTACCGAATCCTGGTCGATTTGTAGACGCTTAGAGTTCGCAAGCTGCACCACATACTTTCGAATTTGGAGTTTATTTGGTCGTTGAAAAGGCAGATCGACGCAATAGTTTGCCAGAGTCTTCAACTTTTGTGAATAACGATCATTGCAGATGCATATTATTGGGATGCGCGTCTGTTTAATGATGTCAATTAACTCCGAAAGACCACCTCGGTCACCACCCGCCATGCCGTCAACTTCATCCATTATGAGAGCGGATCTCACAGTTTGCTCAGAGTCGGAACCAATACACTTGTTCGTCACAAATTCCCGCACTGCACTCGCTAAAGTACCCGCTATACCATCAACTACCTTCCCAGACTTACCCCTAGAATCGCTGGCGTTGATGTTCAACGTCTGCAAACCAAGTTCTTTGCACAACAGCACTGCCGTAGTTGTTTTGCCAACTCCAGGTGGTCCACTAATTAAAATACATTTCCTGTCCTGTCCTTTCAACTGTACGTTAAATTTTCTAGCTGACCATTGTAAAAGCCAGGAACGAAGCACATTGATGGCACTACTGTTACCAACTAAATCAGTAACAGTTCTAGGGGAAAATTCGTCAGTCCAGAGCCGCTCTACACTATCTTCGGTGGCGTGTTGATTTGATAAGATGCGAGCAACTTTAATCCTTAGATTTTCCGTAGAACTAGCCCTCTTGTTGCCGCTCACCCGGTTGCTTGCGGAAGATCTAGAACTCAAGTCTAGTCCTTCGCTCAACCTTTGCAGACTCGACTTAACATCTGCTTTGGCGCTGTCATTCATGTAGGAGGACTTTTCTACAGAGGTCGCCAGTTAGAACACGCGATGTTGCTGCGTAAACTCTTAGTACGCGTCGTGTTTTACCAAACTGAACAGAATCGATAAGGCCGGGCATTTCAAGCAGTCCTAGATTAGGCCTGCTGCACCTGGTACTGTACCAGCGTACCGGTGTACCAGGCATTTTGTATGAGCAAACAGTTTGTACCCAGTCGATTTAGGTACGTATAGTCGCGTAGGTTATTAGTAGTAAACCTCAGATCTTTACGCATCGAACACGCTAAGTCGAGACCACCAATATGACCTTAAGCTTACAATATATGTATAAAATGAAAAAATAGTTACTTCAGCCTGAGATTTAGCCACGCCCCTCGCCTTACGCCGCTCACCCTACCCGGTGTTGACGTCCGTTGGTGTGAGGAGAAGAGCTGAACGTTTCAAAACTCGAAGGCGTCGCCGGGAAGCGAATCCCGTCGATAGCGCGTCGTTGGTACATTACTGCCGGATCGTTTCATCCACCACGAAGATCTCGAAACGTTTCGGCCGATCCGGACCACGAGATGTCGTTTGAACGAACGTTTAAACCCGAGGTAACTTGCTGAAGACACGTGCTTGACCAAGTTGATGCCTTTGTATAGGAAACATCGTACGTGGCACAGGACACAATGGTCCAAATATTGCCGCGATTCCGATGCGACGTGAGCGTTTTTCTGGCCAGTTTAGTGCAAACAGTCTGACCCTGCTTGACCAGAGAGTTCCCTTCTTGGCAGATGAAGTGCGCTTCTTTATAACGCGACCGTATTCAATGCCTAATATAATACAAACGAACAGTTTGGACCGTTCATGCCCAACGTTCCGGTTCTTGTGCCATGTTGGCTCGCCCTTGCGCTGAACGAGAATGGGAAATGTACTGTTGAGCTTGGAGACTGGTTTGCAGCAGAGAGCGTGTTGGCAACCCAAAAAAACGAAAAAACGGATACGAAGGGATTTCAGGTTAGTAAGATTCACTCGTTTCTACTTTCGTATTGATATTCGTTCAAAAGCCATTACCTCAATATTTCATCGAGCAAGCTCGTTGTATTTCAAAATATGTTACAGAAGATATGTCTATGCACGTGCACTTGGTAAATGTGTTGATTCACTCGAACCGCACGAAGCTAATCCATTGACGAGGAGCATATCCTTTCTCTTAGGCAGAGTAAAATACGCAGAGCATTCCGTTTACTCCGGCATGATACTATGCGGGAAACGATCGAGGAGGTAAGTCTAATCACAACAGTTAAACAAGAAGCTATTTTCAAAACTTTGCTAGGGCTATCGACTGCCATCTGAGACGGCGTGCTCGGAATTCAATTCGATAAGACGCTTCACCTGCGCAGCTATGGATAACTTCAACGAACTGTTGGCTTCAAAGGTATCATGAGGTGTGGTTGTCGCTGGTGACCGTTGTCGGTTATCTATCAAGCCCAAGTGCGGGCAGTTGTATCTATCAAAACATGTTAGTACCGATCGAAGTTATTAGATGAAATTGAGCACCTTTTCAACCTTGGAGAACTCCCATTCTTTGTTCTAGAGGTAGAAAACGTGTAAGTAGGAAGAACACTTGTGTCTATAAGCAACGTACGCAAAGTGGACAGTTACTGCGTGTCCTTAGCCATTTCGAGATACAATCGAGATGGAAAACATGTCCACAGTTACCCCACGCAATGCTGAGACCGTCATCGGATGATGCAGCTGGGTTTGCTTGGTATTCAATGCTCCCTTCGTGAAGACTGTTCCTACAGATGGCACAAGTGTCCGTGCAAATTGACCAGGACCAGACAGCTACCGCTGACCACTACGAGGTTCACTTCAGCAATGTACTCAATAAGATTTCCGATGGGAGCACTCGCCTTCTTCAGCAGAAAGCGCGTGTCTGCAGTCGTACACGACATTTGATCCTCGCACGCTCCAACTACTGCGTCGACCTTTAACTTGTATGAAACGAGCGCAGGAATCCTTCGATGTAGGCTGGCGTTCTAAGTGTTCGCGCACCAGACTATCGGGCTCGTCAAGTATACTTGGGTGCGAAACGAACGGCGTGGAGTCGAAACGTGAGCGTCGGGTATTGCCCTTCACGCACAACAGCGCGCCGGCCCGAAAAAACGGGCAGTTCTAGGGTTTAGTTGACGAATGAGGACTGATGATTGAGGAGAGGGGGTCGACCCTCGACGTGGAAAAGTGTGTGTGTGTGTGACTGTATCACACTTTTGACCTCACACTGAGGTGTGGGATTGTCCTTGGTCACGACCCAATCGAAAAAAAAGAAATAGGGTAGAATTGCGTGCGCGGCGTACCCTATTTCGGCCGAAATAGGGTACGCCGTGCATCCCCGATCACAAAAAAACACTATTTTTGGGAGTCGAATTTCATAAGCGGCAAAAACTCGCGCAAATTGCAGAAACCGATCAAGATGATGAACAGGATGGATACTTAGGCGTAGTAAAGAAACGCAACAACAATATATCTAACGCCAGCCGTGATCGGCACCCCACCGTGAGTTAGCGAACTTCTGAAAGCGACAAAATCTCCACACCTCGGCCGCACAATGCATTCATGCTCAGGGAAAATAGTTCCACCGCCCGAATAATCCTGCGTATCATGCAAAGCGAGGGTCAAAGAAAACTGACCTTGATCGGTGTGTACGGGTAGCTCTCGCTGTCCTTCGTTGGCATTGTATTTGACGACAAATGCGTCATGAACATACAGTGTGCCAAAACTAGTGGGTAGCCTGAACCTGTCTCTTATGAAAGGACTAATAACCACACTAAAAAGGCGATTCCATTGCTCCATGACACCAGGTATTTCATGTATAGGGAGATCAGTTGTCGGTACTGCCTTATGGCGAGCCGTATCCCAACCTCCTCTAGACCTAGCTACACTTTCAGCAGCCTCTACCCAGCTTGGGCAAACTGCAGCAAGTGGACCGCTCGTTGTGAGATAGATTTCATCCACTGCTATAGTCCTAAATGAAGCAAAAAATAATGACTCATCGCTTCGCGCAGCATACAACTGATCTTTCACTGCCTGCTTTGATAGCCAATGGTGAGTTCTGTTGAGCTGAAAGGCTCGCCGCCAGATATCGTGAGCTTGACCCCATTTCCCCTGATTAAGAAGCGTCACACCGTAAGAATGAAGAGTATCAGGATCTTGGGGTCGAAGAGTTAGCGCACAGTACAACAACACCTCTGCATCCGAATTTCGACCTTCTTCCTGTGCTTGATACGCCAGGAGCTTCATTTGTTCGCATGAGACCTGCTGAAACTCTTCTCGTTCCCATGAGCACCGCCAGCACCTACATATTTTACCATTTCTTTTCAGAATAAGTTGTTCCCGATGGCTTATGCTTGAAACGAGAGGGACATGTGCCATAGTCTTACGCTCCTGGATTCCAATATCTCGTAGGGCGACATACTCACACGGAGCAGCACAAAGGCTTAAACTCACTTCAATCTGCACGTTCGGTATGCAACTGTGCTCGAACTTCCCAAGTGTTGATGACAGCAAAAGTCCAGAGTACTCCATCTTTGTCGGCTTGTGTTGAGAATATAGACCCGTCTCATACGGAGAGCAAGAAATGATAGTTCCCGGAAAATATGACTGGGTCTGCTGATGACCAGCATATTTCGTTTTTGCATCTACCGATCTCTTCCGCTTCCTTAAGACTTTTGCAGTACTAAAAGCGCATACAAACCTTTGCGTACACGCTAATATGTCTGTGTACATATGTAAGTTTAAGAGTTGGACAAGTTCGCGACCACACCGTCCAAGTTCAGACAAGTTGCTGAAATGTGTAGAGAGGAGTTCCCATACATCTCTGATTTGATCTTCAGATTCTTTGATGCGCTCGACGAATTCTGGATAGTTCACGCGACTTTCAAAGAGGGATCGGGCGGCGACCTCAGGCCATGAATGACTCAGTTGAAACTGCTCAAGAAAGGAAGACTTCAACTGCAGTGCAGGGTATCCAGCCATGTTAGCCGCCGCAAGTCTAGCCAGTACTTTGGCAGCGATTAGAAAACTCTCATTCGATTGGCGAGCATACTGATAAAACTCCGTTAAATCGTTTTCGCACACGAAGGAGTGCCATCCATAGACACTGCGGTCACTTACTTCTAGTGCACGTCTGACACAGTCTGTTGAGCAAAATACCTCTCTGCAACTATGACCCCGTGGACAGAGAAGAACATTCGTCATATCATGCCTCACGCCTTGCGCTTCAGTGTTGAATTCACGAGTCGCTTTCAATCGCCCGAGGCAGTTAGCGCAGCACTCCCCTGCTGCGCTTTCGTGCAGTATGCGATAACTCACGGACGTCTCCGTCTGGCTCAGCTCGTTCTTTCGCATCCTTGTGGAACGACCTCCTTCAAGATCCTTCAAGAAGGGTCATATTTCCAAGCGTGCAACAGTTTCGTCGTGACAGGGCGGTGTGACCGCACGGGTGTACTTCGTATCGGATTTTGATCCAGCTACCCTCAGCCAATGGCTATATTCAATTTCGGCAGGTAGTGTTTTCGCAATTCAGGAATGCAAATCAGGGGTCTGGCGCTCGGCGAGCTACCTCGCCAACACTATCGAAATGAATGCCAAAAGACTGAGGTTCGAGGCCTCGAGGTGCGCGAGAGAAAAGCCTTTCGCGTGCGATTACTTGCTGATGAGTTGTTCGTCTTTACAAGCCTCGTCCCTGAGTGGTCGAGTCCAACAAGTGGCGTCGCGGCTGCGACGCACTTGAGCGTGTCGTCGATTTCTAGCAAATGCTTTTTATATAGTGTTATTCCTTATTTAGTAGTATCTCTGAAGTCGCAAAGGACGGCGAGTCTACCCATATACCTCAGATAGAGATTGGGCCATCTCGTCAGATTTTGACTAATCTCCGTAATGGTTGTGCACACCTTTTCTTGAGTCATAATCGGTCACGGCATGTATTGGTAAACAGTATGAGGGGGGGGGGGTACTCCAACTTGTGTTTTTACCTTGTACAAATTTCGGTTTAGACGTGGTTTCTTGAGAGCTTGGGGTGGAGTACCAGAGCGCGAGGAACTGCGTGAGGACGTCGCTATGTCCGTCGTATGCCGCAGAAACTGGATGAATCTGATGTAACATGCATGTATCTACAACTGTTCATCGCGACGCACGTCTTCGCTGCCTCGTCGGCGCGTTATCCGCGCACACATGTCGCGTGTTGCGAAAACTTGCCGAAATTTGTACAAGGTAAAACACAAGTTGGAGTACCCCGATCATACTGTTTACCCATACATGGCGTGACCGATTATGACTCAAGAAAAGGTGTGCACAACCATTACGGAGATAAGTCAAAATCTGTTCGAGACAACTAGCTTAGACTTTTAATGAAACGACAGATCTTTACGCACAGAACGCGCTACGACGCGATCACCACGGGACCTTAAGCTTACAACTAAAGTCTATCCAAATATACAAGTAAGCGCTGGCGCGTGGTCACCATACGATGTTAAAGATTTGCCTTTAATGCCCGTGACGTGAACAATGTATTCATCAGGTACCATTGACGAGTCAGGAACCGGAATTACCCCCCTCAAAAGGTATATGGATTCGTTGGGACCTGATTTTCTGGACCCGCGCGCCGGCGCCGTTCGAGCGATCACACTGTGGAAACCAATCGATGATTCACATCATCGCACGCAATCACATCAATTTGCGTCTTAACGCGCGTTGCGACGCCGAATCGCGACGAAAATCGCTCAAATTTGGAGAGAAAAGTTAAAAAACGTCGACGAATCGATCCACGACGTTAACTCGCGCCGTGTATTCTAAACCCTAGAAAATAGGGTTTACGGTCAATATTGACCGCCCCAGCGTCGCGCCTCCTTACGACGCCGCGACGCGCGCGCGCGCGCGATCGGCAGACGAAACCGTTCGCGTCCGCGCTCGCACTCGCGCTCGCGCCGTCGTCGCGCGCGGGTCCAGAAAATCAGCTCTCCAACGCATCGCGACTCGTCGCGTCAACGAGGGGTCTTCGACGGGTCGTGACTCGCGTTTCTCTCGCGTACCCCCTCGCCGGGATTTTAGAGCCCCAAAAAGAGGTCGATTCACGACTCGTCGTGTGCGCCGTGTCAAAATCCATATACCGCGGGAGGGTCACCGACCCTCGAGTTACACTCTTCGGGTATGGTGACAATACTAACGTTACTCTTAGTCGGCCTTAATGCGCTTTTCTCCTTGTCCTCAGTAACCTCAGGTTACTAACCTGCGCCTTTCGTCGCTCTTCTACGCGGCACGAAACTCAACCCGTACGGGAACGGTGAAAAGGAACAAGGAACACCCAATACACTCCAGTTGGTGTCGTGGAATACTAATCGCGCCGTGACTGTGTTAACTTCGACGGAGATTTTTACGACTCGCGGAGCCTTCAGAGCTGAACAGTGGCGCCGGGACGAGGTTTCCGGTGACAACGAGTTCGATCATGTCGACTCAAAGCACAGTGGGTTTTGTAATACAGAGCCACAGTGGGTGCTTCTCTCGACGCTCACGGTCGAGCGTAGGAGTCCCCAGGGGTACCGTTCGTCGCTCTTCTATACGGCACGAATTTCAAGTGACACTAGAAAAGCCTTTGGGCATCATTCTGCAACCAAACGTCGGTATGAAAGGTGCACGCGTAGATGAAATTCGCTACGGAGGCAATGCCGAAGCGACCGGAAACGTGTATGCCGGTGATGTCATACAAAGCATACAAATAAATAAATCAGTGCTTGGCAACTGCGATACCGTGCTCTTCGAAGATATAATCTCTTTTATATCACAACAATCAAGCTCAAAGGTTAAACTGTATTTAGTGCGTTGTGAGATAAGCCCCGTGGAGGCAGAGCCGGCTGATCTGTCAGCTTATTGGGGAGCGAAAAGGAAAGAGAAGATAACGGGACGAGCGGTACTTCGTCGCACGGTAGGCGTTCAACCAGAAGACATAAGAATACTCAAAGGTGGACCTCTTGGCGAAGGTAGTTTTGGAACTGTATTTAGGGGCAGATGGAAGGACAAAGATGTTGTACTTAAGTGTGCCAAACCAAACGTTTACGGTGCAATAGAATTTTTAGACGCCGAGCTTGAACTCAATGAGACCGTACATAGATTAGCGAAGGGGTCGTGCGCGAGATTTTACGGTTGCTGTGAAATCGATCAGCGGAATGAAGGCCAGATTTACAACGGTACACTGACCGCTGGGCTGTGGTTAATGTGGGAGTATTGTGGTTCAGTGACGCTTGGGGAAGCTCTGGTTGACGCGAAAAAGCTGCTCGACGTCACTACTGAATCATTCAACCTCCCTCGGACTGCGAAACAACAAGAAGTTGTCAAAGCTATTTTAAGCTCTATTTTTGAGAACTTGCAAATGTTGCACACTGCAGGGATCGTTCACCGAGATGTCAAACCTGACAATCTTATTTTTACAAAAACAGGGCTCGTCTTTATCGACCTTGGAGGATCTGCACAGTGCTTAGGCAGGCCCAAGAATTACATACCGGGTGAAGGGCCGGCAGACCCTCGATACTGCTTGCCTACAGACATTTATCTTTTACCTAAGGAGTCTCCAACGCCGGTTGACTCGAATTTATTACAGCTGTGGGAGCATTATCAACCCGAAAAATTCGATTTATTCAGCGCCGGCATCATCATGCTTCAAATATGCATCCCTTCGTTAAGTCATCCAGATAAACTTACTAAGTTCAAAAGTGAGCTTGAGCAGTGTGACTTCAACCTTCAAAAGTGGCGAACCAAGTTTGACAAATCTGCCTCTCCTGTGGGAGTATCCGACGTGAGTGTTCTTGACGCTGATGAGGGTGCTGGGTGGGATCTTGCAAGTCAGCTGCTGAAGACCGATAGAAAAGAACGCATCAGCACGGTAGATGCGTTGCAGCATAGGTTTTTCTAGTTGAAACGAACACAGAATTATTCTGTCCGCTCCTCAGTCCTAAACGCCTTCGATCTTGTAAATGAATAGTATAGATACCCAAGGATACCTTCGTCGACTGTCGCTGGGATGCCCGAGTGGTCCAAGGGGCCAGACTCAAGTACGACGCGTTCGAGCTTCACCGGAACTTAGGTGAGTGTTCTGGTAGTCACTGACTGCGTGGGTTCGAACCCCACTCTCAGCACGATATTTTTTTGATAATTAGACGAGCTATTGTCTGAATATAGTGCGTCTGAATATATACAGCGTCTGTAACGACGCTGCGCCCGTCGTATGTGTAAGCTCTAGGTTGGGTAAAATCACGATCACGATCTAAATCACGACCCGAAACTTCGTGATTTGAATCACGATCACGACCCGTAGATCGTGATTTAACCTTTCGAGCTTGCACGAACCGTGTCGACGCGGGGTGCTAGGGTTAGAACAGTGACGCAATGTACGCATCATCGCCGTATGTCCTCGACATCGGTGCCGACATGTCGTAGTATCAGTCACGTGACGCCTATCACTGTCAATATCAGAAAAAATGATAGGCTTTACATACACGCAATATCAAATCACGATCTAAATCACGACATCGTGATTTGAAATCACCATCACCACCCATAGATGGTGATTTCCCAACCTATAGTGTAAGCTTAGGCCGGGGGGGAGATAGATTGTGAAACGATAATTTCACTTTGATTTTCGTTTCGGTAATTCTGTCCGGATAGGCCTAATTATCGCAACGGGGGAGATGAGGGGTGAAATTTGTGATGAAAATTCAAATTCGGTCGACTCGGTACTGGTTTTGGGGAAAGGATGGTTGGGAAATGTACCGAACCGCTCGCACTCCCACACGCGCGCGTCGAGTTTTTTCGCCCTTCACCGAATGCGGAAGCGAAGGAGAACGTTCGTCTGACGCACTCCGCGCCGCGGATCGTGGGCACGCGCGCAACGCGCGCGTCCAGGGCGCGCACTTCGCGCGAGTCAAAACGTGCTCGCTCTGACGCGAAAGATGACGCGCGAGCCGTACGTCGGAATCGCGATCAAGCCGTTCGCGAGGCGCACGACGTTCTGACGATGTTTTCAACCGCACGCGTCGTGCCCCTGGACGTATAGGCGCGTGGACGTGCGTCGGCGCGACGCAGGCAAGAATGAGGAAAGGGAATCTTTGAAGTTGTTTTGAAAACAAGCCGTTCCCGGACGTTCGTATGTTCGTCGGCGGCACAATGCATCGCTTGAGTCGATCGCACACTGACGATGCATGTGAACAGGACGTATGCAGCACTATGCGCGGTTACCGCATCAGCGCCAGCGCTCTGATTTCCACCAACGCCAACTTCATGACGGCTGTGTGCGAAGGCGGCGCCGATGTTCTCGGCGTCAATCGTGTTTTCGGCTCCAATCGGATCAATCGTTTCGCCGTCACGAGCCGGCACAGTGGAAGGCGCCTCCGAACCCGTTCGCGCTGGAAGTAGAAGTTCACCTTGCGCGACGAAGCGCATCATCATTTCAAGCACATCGTTGGTACGACGCAATTCCTCGATGACCTGTCGCTCGAGCGCCTCTTCTCTCATAGCACGTGTAGGTGATTTATCCGGCGCCATGGTTATCGGATGTACCGACTCGCGACGTGCTGTCGCCGCCGCTGTGCGCTGCTGTAACCAACTGGCAGTGTTCGCAGCCGAAGTGCACCTGTCTTCGTGTCTTAGCGCGAACTCCGGTCTCGCACGTTCTTTCAGCGTCCTGTACGCAGCGGGATCGAGATACGGGGAGTCTGGCACCACGTACCTGAATACCACAAGGGTCGCTTCTGAATGTTTTTCTTTCAAAGCTTCGTTCTCTTGCTTGTCCAAAAGTCCTGACGGCTTTTCCAGACTCACCTTGTTGGTTTCCGCACGCTCTGAAATCACGTCGGAAAATGTGCGCGACTTTGAGCACGTGTGCCTTCACAGCCTTTCCACGTTCGAACACAGTCTTGTTCGCTCCGACGACACCGTGTTCGTTGACTTCTTCGCACCGACGTGCGTCGATGGATTCCTCGGGCGTCCTCGCGCCGTGTACGGTCGTCGATGGTTTCCACAGACCCAACGCGGCGAGCTCCCGAACGTAATGGGGGTACCGCTTGTTAGCGTGTTGCCATCGATCGACCTCCCTACTCTCTTGCACGACTTCGCACGCGCTGAAGTATGCGTCGAGCGCGGCAAGTTGTTCAAAAGGAGTCCAGCTCGGACCACGAGGGATGCCGCTCTTCCGCCGCCCGCCCGCGGCAGTGTCCTGCGACGCGAGCGACTCGCGAGCACCCGCGTACTCCGCTTCGTCTACGGCGACGTGCGCCGACCCCAGAGCGGCCGCGTCTGAGGCGTGCGGGTGCGGCGCGTGCGCCATGGCGCGCGATGGAGTGTCGGGCACGAGTTTTCGTTTTTTAATTTCACCACGGGGGAGATGCGCGACGATATTCGGGACGATACTGACCCCCTCGACGTCACGAGTCATGAACCACCAAAAAATTTCACTTCAAATTTTGCCCCGAGGCAAAATTTCGTTCGGGCGAGGCGATATTTGCCCAATTTCGCCTCGCGAAATCGGGAAAAGTGAAATTTGAAGTGAAATTTTGAGCGAAATTCTATCTCCCCCGTGGTGAAATTTCGTTTTTTTTACTTGACGCCACCAAAATTTCGTTATTACCGGCTATCTCCCCCTCGGCCTTATGGTGCACAAATGATTTCGAAAATAGTATATAGCTATGCATCGTAAAAAATGAATTTAATAGTTAACACGAGCGTTTTCTGGCTGGGGTCGGCCTGAAAATTTCAAGGGGTCGGAATCAGCAAAGTCCCAACATCGATACAATCGATTCTGCAAAAAAAAAACGCTCGCGAGGCGTTTTTTTTTGTCAGCGCGGAATTCGTCACACCGGCGTACGTTTCCTCATCAATTAATGGTCAAGGTTCGCGTACATCCTAGAATTGAGGTGACGAAGTGGAGTTTATATCATAACTCAAGCCTCTCCACGAAAACGTTGATTCTAGATGACGTAGAACTCAATTTCCCAAAGCAAGCCACAGTGCACGAAATTTCTCAGTCTAGTTGGCAATATATTCAGAAATGTGAGACCACATGTTTACCTGACATGGATGTGAATAAAGAAGATAGAGTCTTGCATAATGGCGTACATCTCATGGCTGATAAGAATCTCGTAGATTACGGCATTCAGAAAGATGTCAACTTGGTCACAATACGACGACTCTTTGTCGTCGAAGGTGAGCTTCATTAATATACATACTCTGTTCATTTAATTTGATTTAAAAAATTATACAGGGTGGAAAATTCTAACTGATCCGAACTACGATTCATCGACCGACGAAGATAACTTTTAAATCGTTGTGCCTGTTCTTGGGACACCCTGTGATTCTGCGTTCGTCGTAAACAAAGTTTTGTAATAACTTCACTGAGCTTGGCGTCATAGAAAAAACATACTGTCTAAATTCATCTACTTCTGTGTATAAAGATCAATTGACTGAGGTTCGCGCTTCATAAAAAGCCACGGTTGTCGCGGATGAAACTGCACATCTAGACACCTGGCCAACTCAAGGTGTGAATTTTGTATCACATTTACCGGAACAAACATGGGATCCGCGACAGAATCAGACGGTTCAGACATGTGAAACACAGTAATTTTGCCATCTTGAGCTGCTGTGGCGATAAGTGGATACGAATTATGGCATGTCACAGATAGTACTGAAGCTCCTCGGACTGCAATTGCTTTGCTCTCGCCATCACTTTCAACATCAAACCACAGTGTTTTCCCGCTCCTCTCGCCAACTAGTAGACTAGATCCACTTGAACTTATACACATGCACATATTATTCGTCATCCCATTCGAAAACTTTCGCTTTAGTTCTTGCGTTTTCAAATTGTACATACGAACTTGCCGTGGCGAACAGATGAAAAAGAAGGGCTCTGTTGGATGAAAAGACACGCTCATGACGCGACTATCGTACTTTGCGAACGGTTGCTGAGAACATTTGAAATCTAGGTCATGCACCGTGATACCTCGTTCACCAAAAATTGTTGCAAAGTAGCGACCCTTTCTGTGCCATGCAACCTCCCGTACTGTTAAAGCATGTTGTATGACTGAGACAGCTTTTGAGCAATTCCAGACAGGTTGCTCAGAAGATTTCTGCATACTCTTTAGTGCTCGCAACTGACCAGGATCAAACGAAGCAAGAGAGCGTATGACCACAGCACAAGTCCCCATGGTCACTACCAATACATGAGTTCTCGTTGGATGCCAGTGAACAGACCCTAGCTTCGTATTGAAATCAAAATGGTAAATATTTTTTCCCGTATGAACATCCCAAATCAATAAACTTCCAGAACTTGTGCACATGGCTAGCCACTCACCAGAACAATTGACCGAAAAGCAGTCAATAGTCTCACGCTGTTGCAAAAACCTTTGTGTAAAGATTTCTGGGAATGGCTTGAGCTGCTTTGGCATGGGTAGTTTCGGTAGTAACTCCTCAGGAGATATATCTGTCTTCTCGCGATGAGAACGGGGGCACAAGTATAAGTCCAGGCATCTCTCAAATCTCTCTTGTGTGAAACATTCATAACTGCACATCTGTCTGAGGCGCGAAGCTGACTTGTTTGAGATGTTCATTTTTGCATACTCCGCATACTCTACTGGTGGATTGAAGGATAATTCGTTGGCTGGTAGACTAGGCTTGCGCGCACGAATCCGGCCAAGGGTGTTCGGTTGCTCGGTTGGAGGTGCTGCCCAAATGTCATAATCATGTGGAGCATGTTCTATTGCCGGCTGGCCAGTCTGGAATGTCCGTCTCAAGACTCGCACTAGTCTTGCGACAGCTTTTGCTTCCCCCTGTGACGGTAGAAATCTACGTTTTGGCTCGGTAGAACTAGCAACACGGTCTGTATTAGTGCTTGAATCCCACTCCCAGGTATGCTCGAGTGAATCTGACGGAAGCCAGCCGGCTTGTATTCGTTGTAACAGCAGCACGTCAGATTTAGATAGCTTTATATGCCCTCCAGACAATGCATCTGAAATCCTGCGCCATGCAGAACGGTCATCAATATTACTTAGCAAGTTCGATAGCGAGTCAGTTTCCACGCTCTTTGAAAGTCGCCTACCGTCCACGTTGTAACCCTCGTGCGCCAAATCCCTGTACCAAGCGAGCGGAACATCTCCGATTTGACTGGTTTGTTCAGCCGGCATTCAATCCTCTGGCTTGAACGGAGGGCAACTCTGCATAAGCTTGGGTGGCGTCCACTCCAGCGCCGCCAGCTTTCTCCTTTCACTCAGGCTCCCGGGACACCGGGCGGGGGTGGCTAAATCTCAGGCCGAAGCAACTTTTTATCATTTCGCATGTACGTATGTAGTATCCATTGAAACTCATCTAAATATATAAAAATACATTTTAATACAATTGCATATTACACTATCTATTCAAGCCAGTATCCCTCTGAACGGTTCCGCCGGATCTTGGGTGGATGATTTTCCAATTCAGCGAATGAGCGTTCTTGCGTTAAACTATTGAAATTGTCATTCTAAAACTTGTATATGTGCAAACAGTATGAGGTCCTAGGGTACAGCCATTGTGTTTTACCTTGCACAAATTTCGGCAAGTTTTCGCAACACGCGACACGTGTGCGCGGATAACGCGACGACGAGGCAGGGAGGACGCGCGCAGCGATGAACAGTTGTAGATACATGCATGTTACATCAGATTCATCCAGTTTCTGTGGCGTACGACGGACATAGCGACGTCCTCACGCAGTTCCTCGCGCTCTGGTACTCCACGCCAAACTCTCAAGAAACCACGTCTAGACCCCACCTAAACCCCACCTAAACCCTACATAGGGTTTAGGTGTCTATTTCTCGCGAGTGTTCTACGCGCACAGGCGCTCGACGTGTCACTTTCATCCGCGTTACGGGCTTCGGAAAGGACTTTGAACGCCTTGTGTTGTTCATCGTATCCACTTAACTGTGGTGTCAGCGTGTATTGCAGTGCTGTGCACGTGCCATCAACCCTAACTAGGGTTTTGTTAGGGTTTATCTAGGGTTTAGGCAGGATTCAAGGTGTCTCCTCACGGCTCTGTCAGAGTGAGGTTGTTCTACCTTCTACATTCGACTGCGCGATTTCTTCTCGTGAGAACGTCAATGATCCGATAGTGTGTGGTGGATACTACGTGTGGCGAAGCATGCGCACGTCCTCCCTGCCTCGTCGGCGCGTTATCCGCGCACACATGTCGCGTGTTGCGAAAACTTGCCGAAATTTGTTGAAGGTAAAACACAAGTTGGAGTACCCCGATCATACTGTTTACCCATACATGACGTGACCGATTATGAAGTATCAAAATTACAAGTATAGAATTTTAGCAATCTCCCTTTCAGCCTGAAAGGGAGATTGCTAAAATTCTCACTCAAGAAAAGGTGTGCACAACCATGGCCGAGATTAGTCAAAATCCATTTAGCCACCCCCCCTCTCACAGATGTGAGTCCTGATTGGTCGTATGTGAACGGATTTTCGACAGATTTATCGCTGTTTGATAGTTTAGAAATTCAATACATTATACGTTGGTCAATTGATAAAAAGTTGCTTCGGCCTGAGATTTAGCCACCCCCAAGGCTAGGGGTGGGGGAAATTTTACCTGCAAGATGCAAAAGAGCAAAATTGCAGGTGCAAATTGCAGCTGTTTTGGGGATTTTGACTATAAGTCAAAATCCCTCCACGTCGACCCGCTCTCGTCATTCAAGAGTCCTCATTCGTAAACTAAACCCTAGATTTGCCCGTTTTTTCGGACCCGGGAAGTCTCATTTACCCTACGCTTTTAAAGAGACCCCATTTGCCCTACGAAGAGTCTCATTTTCCCTACGACATCGTAGGGTAAATGAGACTTTCCGCGGCGGAAGAGTCTCATTTACCCTACGCGTGTTGCGTCGACGACGGCAAGGTGAAGAGCGCATCGTCGACGCTCGCACAGCGACGGAGAGCACTCGAACCATGATGACGCGAACATCATCCACGCGATCGGACGGTGTCGCCGACGATTTCGCCGCGGAGTCGTCGGAACAGTCGAGTCCCCTCGCTGATCTCACGAATGCCATCTCTCAAACGACTCGCGTTATTGGTACGCGAACGTGAAGGATCCATTACACGTGTACTATGATGAACTTGAATTGGACACATCTATTTGGTGCTTAAGCGGCTAGTTGTCCTATCACATTCTGAACTTCCATATGTGCTTCTACTTAGCGCGCCGCTTTGTCAATATGACATTCACGACACGTTCTCCTGTGACGCGAAAAACGTGAGTAACTCGCTATGGTCTTCGCCGACGCCAACCGGATGTACACCTTTTTAGGCTCACATTCCAGACAACCCCGTTTTACCCGCTTTTACCCCACTTATTCCTTGAGTCATAACTCGTCAATCGACTTCCGTGATCGGGCAGGAGGCAGAGCTGCGCGCAGAAACTACTATGCCGTCGTCGTGCTGGTGCACTGATCGATGCGAAACTTTGTTGAATGGTGCATGGCATTGTTTTACGCCTACAGACCTAATTTCAGAGCAATACGCTACGCCGTGTCGACACGGCGTGCGTTTTTATGAACAGTCTCATTTACACTAAGATAAACGTAGGTCTCTTTAAAAACGTAGGGAAAATGAGACTCACCCTTTCGGACCGTCGCCCGTTGAAATCGCCGTGGCTGCCGCGCGACGTGGATGTCGTCGGACGGCGTCAAGAAACCGTCCCGCGCACGGTTTCTCCACCAGAACGCGGTTCCTGAGTGATGTTAGTTGCCAGTGAATGTCGCAAACCGTACTCAAATCACTCGACGCGTCGGAGAAAGCGCGCGAAAGATGTGCCCAAATGCCCGTCATTTCGACCACTCGGACGGGGGTTTAGGGTTTAGTCAAAGTTCGATTCCTTGAATCAGATTTGATCGATCAAACGTTGAGAAGCCTGGCGATTGCCGTTAGGAACGAGTCCGCATCAACTGCTGTCGACGCGCCACAAACCTTGTCCGTTGACACTCACTTGGAGTACTCCTCTATCTATATTGTTCGACGAACGCACACACGGAAATCATGGGCGATCCTAGGCCCTTTCACGACGAGGAGTATGCCCGGTCTTGTTGGCGCCGCTCAACAGACTTTGTCGCAGCTTTCAGCTCCACGCGAAACACGGGCGATTACACAACTAAACCAAGCGACACTGGAGACATTGATTCGCTGATCCGATCGTTGTCACGCCTTGTCGGATACGAAGTGAACGGTGCCGAGGACATGGAGCATTTCCATTTTGTACTGAAGTGTGTGAAGTACCCCTTTTGGCTGAATAATTTGACGCTCGGACATAAAAGTGGCCAAGAGCGACAACTCGTCGCGAACTTTAGTTGGCTAGTTATGCTGCTACGTTACGAGCGTGCTTGCGATGTCAACACATCGTCTCAGGGTGTTGGAGTCCCTGAACTGTACGGACAGTTAAAAACAATATACAAAGTATTTCTAGAAGATGGTCAGGCAGGAGGGATAACGAAGCCCGAGCGTCCCCACGAGTCAAATGAGCTACCAGAGCTTCTCGATGATATAATTGTTACAAACACCCGATTACGATCCGTCTCGAATGATATGTTGAGTAAAATTTTTCGAGCAAGGACCAGCGTGGCAGCCAAACGGAGGCTAATCTCGAAGCTTGAGGACGCAAGACAAAGTTTTATCTTAATGTCAGAAAATGTACGGGAGGCGAAGTCTACTATTTTACAGTGGAAAAGTCGAAACGTCAGTCTTCAAGATCAATCTAACGGACCTAGCAAAGAGGTACTCACTCCGATGAAACATGTGCACCAGAATTCCAAAGTGATGAGACACTCAGAGGAACTTAGCAATTTTCGTTCAGTTGTTTTTACTCACAATTCAGCCATGACTGAGCTATCTAATTCCGTCAAGCTCATGTTAAACCAATTTACTACCTTGGCAGCTTCAACAAGACTATCACAGGCGTATGCACAAGTTTTCCATTCAAGACTCAGCCTTGAGCCACATGTGCTCGTTGACGGCGAGCTGACGAGACTAATGCATGAACTTAAAATGTCAATGAACGACGAAATTTCACGCACTTCTTTCGAACATGGTTGCGAAGTTAAGAAGGTGATTTCTGCAGAAAATGTGCTGCATCAGACCATCTGCGACGGGGAGAATCGAAGCAGAAGACTTACTACGCTCGAGCAGCTTGTGAGAAAATTAGAGGTTCAGTATCAAAATGAGCGCCAAAGTCAAGACAATGCAGTAATGGTCGCGACTCAAAATCTTCGAAAAACCGAACAACTGTGTAAGGCATTCAGGCAAACTTCAATACTCACAGATTCACTCTATTTGGAGCGACTGCGTAATAGCAACGCCGAGAAGGCTAGAACTTTACTGCACGACAAATCAACAATACAGGGGCACCTTTGGCTCGCGCTAGACCGACTCATGCTACACAAACAAAAAAATCATGAAGTTTTTGATAATTGGAATACAGATGTACAGTCATCGTGTTGAGTCTTCAACAGCCGTAGTTGAATTCTGTCCTTGAGGTTGGATTCCTAGTACCTGCCATGCATCGCGTTTGAGCCCATCCAAAGCGAGCGTACCAGCCATCTTCATATGCTTGCAGATAGATTGAGATCTTCTGTTGTACTGTGTATCATTAATCCCTTGTCTTCCGAATGCCTTGATAAACTGAGCCATGCGCAACTTAGAGCTGTTATTCGGTAAAGAACCATGAACAAGTCGCTGATCCCACACTAGAAAACTACCAGCTCGCAACGAAATCCGATGCTTCAAAGTGTGCACGGGGTCAAGATCGTCAAACTTGAAACTACCTGCACCGTTTCCGCGCCAAACAAGCCTATTTGCGTTCGCAACACTGTGGTTCACATACTGCTCCATTGGTCCTAGGTGTTGCACCCACCTGGAAAATACTTTGTGAAATCCAGGCACAAGAACTGTACCACCGTCTTGTTCAAGATTGTCTAAGATAGACAAAACGCCTTGAACGTGGGGACCGGATTTCTCTGTCACGCTATTCATTTCCTTGCTAAAATCGCGCAAGTTGTCATAGTTGAGTAACTGTGGAATTTCGTTTTCCAAATATAACCACGGGTTCAAATCTAGGTGCAAATTTCCTTTCGTCTTCCATTCAGGCCTATCTATTGAACAGTCTTCAGTTTTTATGTTCTTAGTAGGCCTGTAAAGGCACCAACGATCGTGTGACACTAAGATATCTGTTTTATTCAGCAGTAAACGAAGAGCTTTGACCACATATTGATTGCATCTATTGCGTACAATTTGTGGTGTAAAAATCGCTGGTTCGGATGCAAGTCCATACGTTTTTGATGATAGGACAGAATAAGTGCTCGGGACCTCACGTCTCAGCTCAGGGTACTGCCGTTCTAAGTGGGACCAAATTTCAGCCGCAGTATCTTTGCACTGCTTGGGATTGAGGACGCCGCGGAATATCACAAAACCATACTTCATGAAGAAGTATCTGGCGCATTCGGTCTCTACTCCATGTTCATCTAATGCTCGCATCGCATCAAAAGATACCACAAAGCCCTCTTCATCTGTGGGAAGAACTAGTGGCGGCGGATAGAAGCGGCTTGCTTCGGGTCCACTGTCGGTGTTTGTCGCCTTGCGCTTAGTACGAAGCGCGCATTTGATAGACTTTAGGACTTTCGCCGCTTCGCACAGCTTGGTCTTCGTTGCCCCGCACATTTTTAGATGCTTTATCCTTCGTAACTGATTCTGGTAAAGCTCATTGTGGTTAGCTTGCTCCTCGTGAGAGCGCCCTTCTAGATAACCGCGATCCTCCATCTTTGATTCACAATTTGATTGTTCCTCGCCTTAGACGTTGCAATGAGCAGCAATATTTGTCTAGCATAACGAGCCACTCTTTTTCGGAATACCCGGCACTGCCCGGCTGCGAGCACCCACACGCTAGCACCCAATCTACACACTCTTTAGACCCGCCTCGACTCTTTAGATCCGCCTCGGATGCAAGTAAAAAGGTTACTCGAATGCAAGAGTACGTCTGGTCCCACGGGGCAGGCTTCAGCGTCAAGTAATAACGCGAGTGAACTACTGCTGTTGCGGCACCTTGTAGCAACCAAGGGGAGTAAAACGTCTCGTTCTTTTAGCATGTGACTACCACGAGCGCGAAAGCGTTCACACCATTATTACATTGTTCAAAAATACTAACGTGTTTGACAGGCACTTCTTCGAACACAACAAAGTCAAGGTCAAGTAGCCGAGAAGACGCGCGAGAAGCTTCTGTTGGGCCTCCGTGCAACCAGGCAACGTATCGTCGCCGCTCAGTTTAGGATCATACTGGCCTGGAAATGCTTACATCAACTGGAACAGTCTATGCTATTTTCTTGTTCTTGTTCTTCTTGGTTGTCTCGATACGTTCAGAGCGCTTTTAGACACTTGTTGTTCCCACTCACGCGGTCTTATATGCCGAAAAAGAATACACGTACCTTTTGCGCCAGTTTGTAGCACGTCAAGTTGGAACAGGATCGTACGTCCTCCTGGATTCGCCAGAGCTCATGAGGGTGTGCTCGCGCTGTACGTGAGTACTCGCCCTCTTGCGTTCGCAATAGCCAGGATGGTCCCGTCGTGGCTAAAAGCGTGTGCAGACACATAGTGCAATGGGGTCATGCTAGTTGGCCACGTGTTCACCAAAGAAAGAGATGGAAGATGGAGTAGCCTCAACGCATTTCGCTCGAGTGACGACGACATAGCGACAAAGTCAGCCCTAGGATCTACATTCAAAGAAGTAATTCGTGTGCGAAAGCTTGATATACTTCTTGCTTTTTTCTGTCCATCTTTTGCAACATCCCATGATATATCACTTGCATTATAGATTTCCACCGTTCCATCATCTAAGCCGGTAATGACATTTTTACCATCAGGTGACGAACATATCTGTACCACACTATCAAAACCTCCAGCGACCCGAGCACACCTCTGTGTTCGCACGTCCCAACAATAAATTTTCCCATCTGCAGCTGCACATGTGATCTCATTGCCCGAGGGACTAAACGTGCACGAACGTACTGGTGCACTCATTTTCACGCTCGCAACACACGTCCGACTTTTTTGTGATAATATGCACAACTCGTTTGAGCTGACAACTCCTACGATGTCCGAACCTGCCGTTTGGACAAACGTGCCATCTGTCGCACAGCTTGTCGGTAGAGAAATTTTCTCAACGCTACCACTTTCAACATTACCAAAGAATAAGCCACTTTTACCACAAACTATCACCTGATCGTTCACTCGACTGAACTCTACAGTCTTAACTCTGCCAGTCAACGACAAAGACTGTATTATATTGTTTGAGGTCCCATCAATACGAAGCAAATGAACACGTGAGCCCGCGGTGACGCACGCAGCTACGTTACTTGCGTGATGGAAACTCACTCCGAGGATTGTGCCTTCATGTGAGCTCTTGAAGTCGAAATCCTTCAGTCTAGTGAAATTGAAACGGCGCCTGCTGGTCTCTCTTTGTTTCCTTCTGGTACATGCGACTGCCGTATGCCGAGCGTGGGAGCGATCCGCCTCACCAGACGCGTGCTTGATGATGGTCCAACGCTTGACGACTTTATCTTTGATCGAAGAGGCAAACTCCACGCGTCGCGTGGGCGGGTTTTCTCTCGCACACCGCTTTGTCGGCGTACCGACAAGCTCTTGGTCGACTTCACATATATCCCTCCCCGCGTGCGAGCCCTTCATCGTTTTGGTCAAAGCTGCGCGGGAAACGCGTGTGGTCTCTCAGACTTGCCTCGATATTGATATATCGCCGGTGCGTGGAGTTGGCGCGTCTCCTGTTGCTACGCGATTGTTCCAGCCGCCAACAGAGTATAGGCGCAACGCTTTGTACATAGGCCTGCTGGGCCTGATACGTACGGATATAGAAATCGAAAAAAAGTGTACCATTTCGGTAGAAATCGAAAAAAAGTGTGGAAAACGTGAATTTCTGTCGTTGCGCACGTGTAGCGTCGCGGAGCCTTGTCCGATGGCAATGAATCGCGGATATATTTTATAAAACGTCAAGAGCTTTCAAACGCGACATTGTTCGTTGTTTCACGTCGAGTGTAGCGCCGTCGAGGTCCAATCGAAGTTCATGCTTTTTGGACGTGAATTTTATCGAAAATAATGATTTGATAGCTCGAGTGTTTTTCGCGATTTCAGGGTCTAGATTTGACGACTTTGATCCGGCCTAGCGACGACGAACGTGATCGACAGGACGCAAAACTTTGTCTGACACTTCAAAACCATTCGTTTCACAGATACGCGGGGTTCCAGATTATTCGACGACGAGCTAGGCGTTCATTTCGGTATACGTAAGTTGCAGTGTCAACACGTCATCATGGCACATCAGCGCGCATTGCACGCTTGCATCGGATATGGATGACGTTCGACTTGACTTTTTCGACACTTGATTCTTCCGGATAATAGGAGCCTTCGCGTTCGCTTCGTAAAGTCGCGCGTTGATATTTTTGAGCTCGTTTCGTAGGCATTCAATATTGCTGTTCTGGGGCACCTTTGACCGCGTCGCTCGCACCACCTTGCGAATTTCCATCTTTGTGAGTGCTTTCTCGAGCGCACCTGTCTGTTCCAAGCCTCTACATAGCTCCGCGTACTATTGAATGTCTTCAGTCTTCGCCTTGCAACGAGCATCGGTCACATTTTGTGCAATTTGGGTCCGTCTCTTCTTCACTTTTTCTCGGTTGTTACATTGCGTTTCAAGCCGGACCAGTATTGGCTCCAAAGCCTCGTCAAAGAAGTGCGCCCGACGCGTCTTTCTCTTCTTAGTAGGCGTAGTAATGACGTTCTCTTGAATGTTTTCTTTTCGCGTCGTCGATGAGATGCTTCACGATCCGGAAGTCGTCCGTGCACATGCTGTTGGTATCGTATGCTTCCGTAGGCGTGATATCCCCATGGGTAAAGTTGGTGCACCAACTCGATGAAGAAAGGCTGCGGATTCCGCGCGCGTTCTTGCTGACGGATTTGTGCGGTATCGTCGCTAACATCCGCGGTGTCTTCTGACTCATTCGAAGCCTCGGCGACCTCTTCAGTGACCACCGCACGCGCTTCGCGCTTGACGTCCTCATCTTCTCTCATTCTCTTCACACGGTTCAGGAACGCGGTCTGTGACACCAAACCGTACGTGAAGCTCGGATTGTGCATGAAAAGAACCGTCGCCGTCACTTTGTGAAGAGCTTGCTTGGAAATCGCTCTTCGACGCTCGTTGGCGAGCACCGAGACGGCAACTTTACGAGCGTCTTCAGCGACTTGAACTTGACCATGGACGTCGTCACCGGGAGACGCTGCCGTACTCACTGCACCCAACGATCTGCCCTGTCGTGAAGAAGGCTTCGTACATCCACACCGCGCCGTCGAGACGGTCGGAGACGCACTCCGCGACGCGCGAGGGCGAGGTATACGCGGGGGATTCTGACCAAAACATTCACGTGCCCACTGCACTCCAACGATCACCTTTTCGGGCCATCACAGCCGCACATTCGAATCTAAACGGTCGAATACGGTGCCGAGGGGGAAGTCAACGTCATCCTCCGCCGCCCGGACGCGCGCGCGGCGCGGAGTGGCGAGCGACGGCGCGAGAAAACGCTCATGTGAATTAAATTCACTTTTTTCGATGCATATACTATTTTCGATTTCACAAGTAATTTCTACAAGTAATTCTAAATGATACAGTGTATACTATATGCGTTGTTTGAATGTTTGACCGTTCATGACTGAACGGTCTCGAGGGACTCCTCTGAAGGCGTGAGATACTGTCACCATACCCGAAGAGTGTAACTCGAGGGTCGGTGACCCTCCCGCGGTATATGGATTTTGACACGGCGCACACGACGAGTCGTGAATCGACCTCTTTTTGGGGCTCTAAAATCCCGGCGAGGGGGTACGCGAGAGAAACGCGAGTCACGACCCGTCGAAGACCCCTCGTTGACGCGACGAGTCGCGATGCGTTTGGGAGCTGATTTTCTGGACCCGCGCGCGACGACGGCGACGACGCGAGCGCGAGCGCGGACGCGGACGCGAACGGTTTCGTCTGCCGATCGCGCGCGCGCGCGCGTCGCGGCGTCGTAAGGAGGCGCGACGCTGGGGCGAGCAATGTTGACCGTAAACCCTATTTTCTAGGGTTTAGAAAACACGGCGCGAGTTCACGCCGCGGATCGATTCGTCGACGTTTTTTCACTTTCCTCTCCAAATTTGAGCGATTTTCGTCGCGATTCGGCGTCGCAACGCGCGTTAAGGTGCAAATTGATGTGACTGCATGCGATGATGTGAATCATCGATTGGTCTCCACAGTGCGACCGCTCGAGCGTCGACGGCGCGCGCGAGATTCGCGGTAACGACGGAAGAAGTTCGCGCGTTCGAGAACTCCGCGTCAGGCGATCGAGCAAGCTGTCGTGCGGGGCAGCGTGACCGATTTTTGACGTATCTCCATGTGGCATCGTGAATGCATCTTTAGTGACCGATGCAGTTGAATTGCGCAACATCTTCACCCTACCTGCCTCGACGCCGCACGAACGTTGTAAACAGTGACAACAGCAATCACTGCCGATCTCGCCGTCTGAAAGCGTCTACAGCGTTCTCCGTCGTCCAAAAACTACCTTTTCCCATACATTTTTGAAAAAAAATTCTGCGACTAGGAAACTGCTCGATTTTACCGAAATTTGCCGCGCGCCGCGCGTCGTCGAACCGCTACCGCGAGCGTTGCAACGAGAGGTTTGAACCAAAGGCACGTTAATGCTCACAACGCGCCCTCGAGTGACCGCTCGGACGGCGCCGGCGCGCGGGTCCAGAAAGTCAGCTCCATGCGAATCCATATACCTTTGGGGGGGGGGGATAATTCCGGTTCCTGACTCGTCAATGGTACCTGATGTATACATTGTTCACGTCGCGGGCATTAAAGGCAATGTCTTTAACATCGTATGGTGACCACGCGCCAGCGCTTACTTGTAAATCTTTCCGAGGGACTCTCTGCAGATGCGTGATATAAATTTGTCCACTCTCTAGCAGCCCAAGCACCCCTAAAAAACTCTGATACAGAGTCTCTGTACCAGTCCAACCCGCGCACCACTGAGTCAGTGGTCATCCGTTTCACTTGGAGTTGCTTCTCCGCTGAAGAGCTTCAAAGATGCAACCGCAGTATGATGTTGACGACTTAACTATGAGAATCAGGGTATAACGCAAGTCTGTGCTATATTCTTCGAGTGTGGTGAACTCTTCTTTCACAGGATCCAAGCAGAGTGCGCGGTTCTGGTTTCGTTCAGTTTCCGCCACAGAGACCTTTTGAGGGCCCCGTGATTTATCAACCACCGACAGTCTGCGTGAGTATTGTTTCATATGTTAATCGTCTGAGCTAACGCTATCATTTTTTGCGTAGTCAACGCACACACCGAACCTTCAAACTGCACGAGCGGCAAGTACACCACACCCAACTTTGCCTCGCTCACACAACTCCCAAAAGCCACGCCCCACAACCGCTTTGAATCAGCCTGCTCATGTCGTAAATAGTACGATTACGACGGAAAAGTCGAAGGTGAGGGTTATTGTTACATTGTATACACGTGTTTTCGCTTAGACGCGTACAGCTTGTTCGCAACTCCTGTTCTGAGAGCTCCACGAAACTTTCACGTGCACAGGCAAAGCGACTCCGCAAAAAGAAAAGAGATAGCACCTAGTATGAGTGTAACGTATTATGTTTGGAAAGCCAAGTGCTCAAAGAATAGTTTCAGCAGGTTTAAGAGAACTAAACTGTGCGAGTTTCCCTTCCAAAGACTTTAACCTCGTCAACTGTGTGTTGAGTGTTTGGACACATCTGCTTAGTGAATTGCTTCCTTCCTGATCGCTCTGTAAAATGGGAAATAAGTACTGAAACAAGCCATAAGAGAGTTGAACGTACCGTTTGATCGTCGATTGTTCCGTGTATGGCTTGAATTTTTCCACACACATCCTTGATCTGAACACTCACACCCTCGGCAAAGTAGAACAGTTTGTCATTTTTGTCAAGTTGAGAGGAATCAGCACCACAACTGCGAATAGAGTCAGCGCGTAGGAGAATATCATTCAGTTTTGTAAACCTCAGTAGCTCGTGCGCGTCACCTTCAAGAGATGTTAAGGCTGCCTCGATTTCATACTGATGGTTTTCAAGCAGCTCTAGTTGAAACTTCATCCGATGTTGGGTTGCCGATAGTCCACAAAGTTCCGTCTGATAGCTTGTCAACCAACGATTGGATATGATTGACTATTGTTACCTGAACGCTTCCTATTATTTTTCGCTGACGTGACAGTACCGCGTCGACAGCGCTTATCTGCGTCGACTGAACGGCAAATCTTTCCTGAAACGCATTTTCAAGTGAAGCCAAGTCGCCCGTTTGAGCTTGTACCTCTGTATGTTTTAACGTATCCACCCACCTTCGAACGGCGCTTTCGATGACGCACGAACTCATACCTCGTGTGGGATTTCAACTGCAGCTACTCGAGCGTCAAACAAGGACGTGGACAGCTCCGAGGCTTCTAGGGGTGGGGAAAATTGAACCTGCTGCAGGTTACCTGCAACTTGCAGGCTGCAAGATGCAAGAGCGAAACCCTAAACCCTATCTAAACCCTAACCAAATCCTAGTTAGGGTTGATGGCACATGCACAGCGCGTGCAATACGCGCTGACACCACAGTTAAGTGGATACGATGAACAACACAAGGCGTTCTAAGTCTTTTCTGAAGCCCGCAACGCGGATGAAAGTGACACGTCGAGCGCTTGTGCGCGTAGAACACTCGCGAGAAAAAGATACATAAACCCTACGTAGGGTTTATATAGGGTTTATATAGGGTTTAGACGTGGTTTCTTGAGAGTTTGGCGTGGAGTACCAGAGCGCGAGGAACTGCGTGAGGACGTCGCTATGTCCGTCGTATGCCACAGAAACTGGATGAATCTGATGTAACATGCGTGCATCTACAACTGTTCATCGCTGCGCGCGTCCTCGCTGCCTCGTCGTCGCGTTATCCGCGCACACATGTCGCGTGTTGCGAAAACTTGCCGAAATTTGTACAAGGTAAAACACAAGTTGGAGTACCCCGATCATACTGTTTACCCATACATGGCGTGACCGATTATGACTCAAGAAAAGGTGTGCACAACCAACCCCGAGATTAGTCAAAATCCCATGACCGAGATTAGTCAAAATCCCAACACCGAGATTATTAGTCAAAATCCTCTGAACCCGTGGGATAATTTTTCCGGAAAACCCTGTGCTCTCACGACAACTTGTGAATCGGTTCTCGGCTGCCTAGACGATCATTTCCGGTAGTGCATTCTCGACGATATGCAATGCTGCAAGCTATGTGTGAGGGAGACCAAAAACTCAGGTGTTCTACTCCGAGCGCGTTACCGGAGCGTGTTCTACCCGCGTTTTGTCACGGATAGAAAACACGTTATTCGGAATGCGCCACGCACGCGTATCATACGAGCGGTGAGTCGGCGGATTCTAGTACATACGTCAATCTGATGTTCACAAAACAGGTAATTCCAAGTTTGCAGGGAGATGCTGCGACGCAGTCCCCCCCGGACCTCCCTTCGTTTATTTTTCAAGAAAGAATCGTGTACTTGGTAGGTCTACACTCACCTGAACTGGACATCGATGACTCAAGTTGACGATCCGCAGGGGATGACACTAGTACCGTCGGTGACAGAACTTATTCTTGCGGAACTATTGTACCTGCAGTACGAAGATAAGAAAAAACCGATTCAACTGTACATAAACTCCACGGGGTCATCAAAGGTGAGAGGGCTTGTACACTCTCAGTCTAATCTATAACCTACCTCACTAGGATGGGAAAAAATATGGATATGATAGTGAAGCTTTCGCTATATATGACACAATCCAATATGTTTCTCCACCAGTACATACCATAGCAGTAGGGACAGCTTGGGGAGAAGCAGCCATGCTATTGGCGTCAGGCAGCAAGGTATTTTGGATGTCTCTTTGAAGTAGTCGTATTAACTCCGTTTAAGGGTCAGCGTGCGGCGTTGCCTTCAGCAAGCATTATGCTGAAACAGCCACTGAGCTCATTCCGTGGACAGGTAAAACGAGCGTTAAGGCACATGATGCGGAATAATTAGTCAAGTAGGCGTCAGAGTTAGAAATCCAACGACAAGAGATGAGGAACACAAAAAAGCAGATGGTATCATGTTCTGAATACTATAAACAAAGTTCTAATCTACTTTCATTCTTAGCTAGACATATTAGCGAAGACAACAGGCAGGGACATAGCGACGATCGAAACTGACATAAATCGGCCATTATATTTTGAGCCTAGCGAGGCAATCAAATACGGCCTAATCGACAAGGTATTGGATGAATTCTTTCAGTGCTGGACAGCATTCAATGCTCGATTTAGGTATTGATGCAGTAAGCGCCTTGACAATTAGAGCAACTCTTTAGTAGCTCGCACTTTCAGTTGACTAGCAACTTTTCATGACACAAAACTGTCTCATCTTCACTCTGCTCCACAGCACTTCACTTCGTATCTACGTCCTAAAGATCATCACGTCATCAATTCGCGAGCAGTGCTTCAGCGATATACTCTGCCTGAAATCTACGAAGATCCCCATATGTTTGTCCAGTACCTACAAACAATACAGGAATGGCTGAAGCGTGAACCAGTGATAAAGCAGCTCCGACTTTTTCGTCAATTGTATCGAATTTCGTCAGGAAGATACCGTCAATAACACCCCCGCTCAATTCCGTGAGTTCCTGCAGACGTCGTTCGAACTGCAGTATCTGACTCACGCCGTCATTCCCGACAAGCGCATCACCAACAAAAAAGGTAAAATCTGGTTTGTTAACGTTCAATAGCTTTGCCAAAGATCGCATCAGCGGTTCGTTGTCTTGCATCCTTCCAGCAGTATCTATCATCACCACATCGATATTTTGCCGTGTCGCTTGTTGAATGGCTTGTTGTGCAATAGTCGACGGATCACGTTCATATCCCCGTTCATATAATGCGCAACCAAGCCGATGACAGTGTGTCCGAAGTTGCTCGACAGCGCCAGCTCGAAACGTATCGCATGCGGCCACCATAACAGAAAAGTTTTGCTGTGTAAGCCAGTACACCAACTTAGAGAGACTGGTACTTTTACCAACACCGTTTACACCGACAAACGTTATTACATATGGCCGACTCTTCCCAACACGGTTTATGTCGTGCAATATGTCCACCTTTCTTGCCGAACTGAGAACTCGAATTACCGCTTCTTCGAGCGATCGGTGAATGATGGTCATCACTGATTCAAATGTTGTTATCTCTTTGCCTATCAGTTTTCGTGAGACTTCGTCCACCAGCATATCAGAAACTTCGCTTGTCACATTACGTTTCATCAGTTTTTTCTTAAAAGAGAACATAATAGATCGCACTGAATCTTCATGAATAGTCAATGTCCCCATACTAAATAAACGGCGACACCAGCCAGCGAATTCGCCGGCACTTGTACTAATGTTCTGTTGAACTTTGTCGCAATATGGTTCCTTGAGTGATTGGTGTTTCAGAAGACCATCACTTTCACCTTGTGTGGGCGACTTCGAGAAGTCTAAGCTTACTTTTGAGGGTTGCATGGGTGAATCGCAATCTGCAGATCCCTGCGAAACACTGAAATCGCAACCATACTCTGCAGGACCCCCAAACTCGTGTAGACCCAAAATAGAATCGGTGTGAGCCTCGAGCTGTCGTCTGAACTCATCGTAAGTACAACAATTACGCCGATAATACTTCGCAAACTTTTCTTGGAAGTTTTTTAACGCGTGATCTGAAAACTCTTTGTCCACAAAATCCTCGAAAGATAGTACATATATCAGACCTCGATGCTCGTCACAGTGCCAGACAACTTTGTCGCGTCGAAATCCTCCAGCTGTATGGTACTCTACGGACTCCCTTGCGAGCTTCAAATCGTACACGTATTCCGAAAGTTCAGTCAAAGAGATCGATTCTTGTGTGAAACAGACGTTGACGAGTACGAGACCGCTACGCGAAAGAACCGCCGCCTGCTTTATCGAATACGCGTACATTACAGCGCGAATATACAGGAGTCACACTGATTTATCTATCGAATCGTATAGCATCGACTGGCTCGACGCAAAATACAATGCACCGAATTGTTTCAAGGTATTAAACAGGACAACGCGGACAGCAAGTATTTGGTGTGGGCAAGAATGTGTGGTGTCTCCTAAGGTTGACATTTTGTTATGAATAGTTCACATGATGTTTACATTGGTGCTGCGAACATTCGCAGCAGCGTTAACTAGTTATGTACTCAATTACAAATTTCCATACTCAGATTGCTAACAAGCACCGACTTGACTGAAGAGGTGCAAGGCACCACGGTCGGTCCTACTTCAGACTTGGAGTTCCTACTATATGCATCATAGCCGATTAAGGCTTTGTAGAGAATACAAGCGCCTAAAACGAAAGACGCATTAAATCTCTGGCAAAGATACACAATGTCACGCGAGGTTTGCCATGGATTTGACCGATAAGTATGTACTTAATAGAAGTCTTCCAGCTTGACTGCAACTTCAGAAAGCTCGTTAATGCCTCTCCTCGCAGCCTTTATCCAAGCTCGCGCGCAGCGCGCGTAAATTTGCGCGCCACTGCTATATTGGTAAACTTTCGCAATCTTTTAATAGGGTCACATGTCGGTAAATGCACGAGAAACGTTTTCACCTCTGCCATACTGATTTGTCCGTCAAATTTGAAGTTCCTTGTAAGTGCCTGTGACAGCACATGTGAGAATAACTTGAGTCGTCCTGGAGTAGTGCAAGTACCTCGAAAGTTTCCGTTCGTGAGCGTAAATCTGCGTGAAAAGGTATATGTAGGACTCTATCAATTCTGCGAGCACGTCAAAAAATTAAGCTGCGCCTAAAAAACGACTCACCGCCCAGATCGAAGAAGAGCCGGATCAACCAACTCTACACGGTTACTAGCAGCCAAAATGAAGACTTGCGTATTCTGTATCATAGTATTAAGTGGATGGAGGACGCCTTCAAATAGATGCGTCTCACCTGCAATGAATCTAATTCGAGGATAATCTGACTATTGATTCGACTTGTGAGACCTGCCGCAGACGGAACCTGAGGCTCTCTGATTGATATTGTACGTCAACACGCATGGATTCAAAGATTACCATAGAAAGAGAGTCAAATTCGTCGAAAAAGATCAGTGCGGGAGCTGACTCCTTGGCTCGCTTGAAGAGCTCGCGGACTTTTCGCTAGCACGGATTTAATACAATTTCTTTGCTCAACTCTTGCTGATAGAACACACCTCGCTTTCCCCGACATACATTCCTAACAACTCTGGTCCCTTGATGTTGAAAAAGCACAAGCCCGATTCTGCGCTCACAACTTTTGCGATCAAAGTTTTACCAGTGCCCTGAGAACTACATGTGAGCAGAGCAGTTCATGGTGCTTGAAACTCGCACCGGAGGTCCATAAAGCAATGCCCCCTTTGAAAACTTATGAAATAGTTTTGGGTAACTCAAAGGTAATTTGATCATATCATTCAATGCATGTTTGATGTGACTTAGCCCTCCCACGTCATTCCAGCTGAAATGACTTCTCCCCTGAAACTGATGTAAACATGAAAATCTCAACGCGCGTGCTTGATTTACCGCCAGGATCCTGTCGGGCTGCAACTTTGCTGATTCGGTGCGTACGTCATGACCTCTTATGAGAAGAGATTCACGAATTCTCGCGCAAGATGTGTACAATGCATCTACCCCCCGTTTTTTATGTTTCCTCATAACGCTGTGAGTTAGCACTTGGATCTGAAACCAAACAGTTTTACATTCTAGGTACTCGGTAAGACCTCGAACACACCTCTCTCGAAAAGTACTGACGCAGAATCGGATATGAAATTTTATCATTTGCAGTCCCAACGATGAAAGTATTACGACCTAAACTAGTCTGAATGCTGTATCGGAAACACATGAAGCGTGGACGCACCAGGAAAAGTAAACTTGCAACCGTCATGTTGGACGTAAAACGTCGAAACCTCAGATATGGTTGCCATGAATCCATGGAGATCGAATGCATTATTTACTAATAGGTCTATATCTTCTAACACAAGGATAAGATCCGAACCGACAGTCCTATTGAACATATTTTTCAGCAACAGCTGGAACTAAGCAAAGAACACTGTAAGAATGAACGGATAGATCCTGACGATTACTTACGTTGATCTGCTTTCTCATCAAGAAAATCACACGACATGATAATCTTTGCATCTGCATGGAGCGGTCTTCTTGTAGCTTCAATCCCAACCACGCGAGAAAATTGTGTGGCACGTTCAAAAAGAGAAATTGATACTGGTTGCGCAACTGGCATGGAGCATACATCAGAGCGCGCAAATATGCCAACAACTACGCACCTGAAATTTAATAGACAAACCCCAAAATGCAATTGAAGTTTTTATTTCGTCGTAACAGTTACGGTATCTTTCAAAGTAAACATCATGGTGCTTAGTGTACCGCCGCGGATTCGTTTTCGTCCGCAGCACTATCCGCGTGGTATCTTTAAATAGATCCATCAGTCCGACATAATTGAAGATAAATAGTAGCTTACTAGTGCAAAACATCAAACGATCTGTCCGTCGAGAGCTAATTTTTACCACACGCGCAATAGTCTCTGCTCGTAAACAGTGCTTTCTTCCAGCGCCAGGCCGTACACTCACTTGAAAACCGACCTGTAGTTATTTTTTATTCGATGGTGAAAAGGAAGAAATAGTTCAACTTACCCAAGTAGCTTGCAATTTTCCAACGATGAGCTCAACGTCAAGAAAAAGTGAGTGTAGAAGATCGGCACGTTGAAATTCGTGGACGTCAAGAGTAACGATTATTAAGTTGGGTAGTCGTAGCTGATACGGCAATCAGATCTGGTTTCAACTATATTGTTTTATCTACTCACCATTGCCAAGGTCGGTTGCGTGTGGTTGAATTCAGGCTCTCGCCGCTCGTGACGGTTGCCTAACGGAAACGTTCCTTCGTGTAACTGTCGGTACATTCTTACGCTCAGGTAAGTGCCAGAAGGACGTATGCAAGTACGACGCTTTGAGCACGACTATGCACGATTATACTATTCCCTGCTTTTGTAGTCTCTGCACGTCCAAGAGAGTTTCTTGAACATCTATCGCGCCTACCGGATTTCACTGCCGACCGCGCTGCTATAACGTTTGAACGTGTTCAGACGTTGCGGCGTTGGATCAATCAAATTCAAGTAGGCTTCTCGACATTTGATTGATCAGCCTGAGCTGAAAAAGAGATTGCTAAAATATGGGCCGATCGCCCCGATTTTGGCGAATTTTTTAGAATTTTAGAGCCGAGTCGACTCTGGATAAGGCCGGGGGGGAGATAGCCGGTAATAACGAAATTTTGGTGGCGTCAATATCTCACCCCCGGCCTAAGTTTATATCAATCTCCGTGTTGGTTGTGCACACCTTTTGTTGAGTCATGACGTCATGACCCGTCATGTCATGTATGGGTAAACAGTATGATCGGGGTACTCCAACTTGTGTTTTACCTTCAACAAATTTCGGCAAGTTTTCGCAACACGCGACACGTGTGCGCGGATAACGCGCCGACGAGGCAGCGAGGACGTGCGCATGCTTCGCCACACGTAGTATCCATCACACACTATCGGATCATTGACGTTCTCACGAGAAGAAATCGCTTAGTCGAATGTAGAAGGTAGAACAACCTCACTCTGACAGAGCCGTGAGGAGACACCTTGAATTCTGCCTAAACCCTATGTAGGGTTTATGTAGGGTTTATGTAGGGTTTATGTAGGGTTTATGTAGGGTTTAGACATGGTTTAGACATGGTTTCTTGAGAGTTTGGCGTGGAGTACCAGAGCGCGAGGAACTGCGTGAGGACGTCGCTATGTCCGTCGTATGCCACAGAAACTGGATGAATCTGATGTAACATGCATGTATCTACAACTGTTCATCGCGATGCACGTCCTCGCTGCCTCGTCGGCGCGTTATCCGCGCACACGTGTCGCGTGTTGCGAAAACTTGCCGAAATTTGTACAAGGTAAAACACCAATGGGAGTACCCCCACCGTACTGTTTACCCATACATGACGTGACGGGTTATGACTCAACAAAAGGTGTGCACAACCAACACGGAGACTAGTCAAAATCCCATGACCGAGATTAGGCCGGGGGGGAGATAGCCGAAACCCTAAAGAATTACCGAAACGAAAATCAAAGTGAAATTATCGTTTCACAATCTATCTCCCCCCCGGCCTTATAGCATCTCTTTTTCAGCCTTAGTCAAAATCCCGACCGTCGACGTGAAAAAAAGTGTGAGTGTGACTAGTGTCACACTTTTAAGTGTGAATGTGAGTGTGAGTGTGATTGAAAAAAGTGTGGTGTGATCACACTTTTAACCACACTTTAAGAAGTGTGATCGTCCTTGGTCACGACGTCACGACCCTTTCATCGTGATATATACCTACCTACCTCCTTCCCAGTCGCTCACCCCTAATGGTGTCACAATTATGGTGACCAGCGGACCATACCTGTAATTCGTCGCTCACCCGTAGTATCGGTTTGAGGTGCAGTACACCGTTTTTGCTCGGGCCGGCTCCGCTCTCCCACGGGCGCTCCACACGAGCAAGAGCAAAAGGAGACTAGAGCTGTCGGTCTTACTTCTTTCGGAACAAGAATCTGGGACGCGGTGGCGCCATGCGAAGTTTCCCTCGAGAACAAGAATTGGATAGCGTGATCTCCAAAACGACTGCACAGGCTAACGCGCTCAGGAGTACCTTGCGGAGAGGAGTTGATGTCGCCAGTGAGGCGGCTAAACTGAATCGATCAGTACGAGACGCGCAACGTCTTCTTGCGTTCGCCGGAAAATCTCTGAAGCTGAAGGAGACACAACTTCAGAGACAAGGAGAAACATGTTTGTCGCTGTGTCAGGCGACTAAGAGGGCGAAGGTGACGATTGAGAACATATGTTCATATACAATCTCTAGGCGCAGCTCGCAAAATTCGAAAATTTCCTTTGTGCTGCACGAAAGCCCATCAGAATACCTCAAAAGTATCGTGCAAACGTACGAGGAGGAGTTGGTATACTGCGAGACTGTGTTGAATGATATGCAGTGCGCCATGTTGCCGAGTGAAACGGAAGTGAAAAAGCAAGAATCGACTGTCCATTTACTCACAGGCGCGACCGGGAGCCTAGTTTCAGTTTTACTATCAAGAATCACTCGTCTCGCGTAAACTTGTATGTAATCAATTCAGCTCAATAGTTACCTATAGTGGTAACTATTACAGACGTTTTGCCGTAATTTTATTATGTAAAACTTGGTACGGAAGGAGCGCGCGGTGGGCGAATGCTATCTTCCGGCAACGGACATACGCCTGCACCGGGTATATTGCATGCTTTGATAAGATCGTATTCAGCTGCAACTTTTTGCCACACATGCTCTGATAACTCATCGCTGTCTGAAAAGCTTGAGACGTCGATTTCTTCCCCGAGTGCGAGGCCAACACCAGTGTAGTTCACGATTCTCTTTTCACCAATTTGCTTTTCAGAAGACGCTGGGGGAGGCATGATATCATAAGTCGCCATCGCGAAGGGATAATAGTGCGTTTTCGCGGCGCTTGATTTCGTGCCCAGCTTCCTCATCATCTCGATGGCCTGTGGGTCAAATTTATCTGGGCGCAGTGTTCCATCAGCTTGACGACGATCTCTACCGCCAGCTGGTGCGATCCAAATCAGCATTCCACCTTTATTCAGAAGGCGCTGCATTTCCTTCACCGTTGCGAGATTTTGCTTCATTTTCTTTGACTTCTCTTTGGGGTTGTCGTTCATGTGTTTCTTCGAGTGAACGCAGAGTAAGTCTTTCCCCATGCTGAAAGGCTTCGCCAGAAGGTCGCTAACAACCCTGTCTCCAGCTACATACGTAACACGTTGTCCTAAGCCTGGGTGCGTCACTTCCGTAAAGAGCGGGATGAACGCAGCATCGCCTTCACTCTGGTGATTAGCAAATAATATGACATTTTCGCCACTGTCTATCTGGGACTGGATCGTCGTCCAGCGTTCTGGTTGCCTCATCACGGAACGGTCGTAGTCAATGAGGCTTCCTATGTACATGTTGGCCATCTGGAAGTAATCATAAGGCGAGCGTATCGCTCGGTGATATGACGGGAACTCGTAAGGTGTCCCAAGGAGTTGCCGTGCATACGCCTTAACCATATCCTTGAATATGTACGTTGTTGCCTTTGATGCAGCTGCTTCGTCTCCAAGGGCGATAGCCATTTGTGCCTTATAGCTATCGATCAATCCACTAAAGGTGCCCTTGATTTTGTCCGGGAAAGCTGAAGAGAGAACACGTAGGCCTTGCTCACCAGGAGCGAGATCCACTACAAGCTGCGCGAAGCGGAGCTTCACCGGGACTTGTTCGGAGCTAGCGTGCACGACGTGTCTCGTAACCCTCTTGCAAGTTCTCTTAGAGATCGGCGTACTTTTCAACGCCTGTGACTCGTTGAACGAATGGTGGGTTAGCTTGCACAGCATGTTTGAAGTGAAATATTTCGCCTTGAATGGTCGGAGTAGCGATGGACTCTTGGACGAAAATCCGTAGCACAAACACGGATATCAATATGCGCTGCGTGCAGTAACTGCGTGCAGTAAATGTTAGTGATGCCTATCCTACCTTTCCTACCTCGAGAAGCGCTGTAGTATCACGCACTCGAAAGGAGGAAGTCCTGGTTCGGCCTCCTTCTTTCTGTGCAGCTTGTTAGCGGTCCGTAGTCACGACTGAGATTCGAAGCACAAAAGTAGTCATGCGCTATCGGGTATGGAAAGATATATATCGCCCCTTCAGTCGGGGACACCACCTAATTAGATCACTTTCGGGTGTTTTTTGGGGTGAAAATTGCCCTTTAGAGAGTCATTCGAGACCGTTGAGTCGTGAATCGTCACTTATCGCATACATCGTGTCTTTGAGTAGTATCATCACTTTCCGAATGGCTAGGTTGGGTAAAATCTGAATCACCTTCTAAATCACCACCCGAAACTTGGTGATTTGAATCATCACCACCCATAGAAGGTGATTTACCCTTTCGAGCTCGCACGAACCGTTTCGACGTGGGGTGCTAGGGTTCGAACAGTGACACAATGTACGTATATCATCACTGTATTTCCTCGAAACCGGTGACGAAATGTCGTATTATCAGTCACATGATGTTAGGATTATTGCAGGCTAAATAATGTTATATAGCCTTCCCGAGTCCTGAGTATGTGACGAGTCATAACTCATTAATTGTAGACTCTAGAGTTCGAGACAACTAGCTTTGACTTTTAATGAAACCTCAGATCTTTACGCACAGAACGCGCTACGACGCGATCACCACGGGACCTTAAGCTTACAATTTGCATCTGCAATTTTGCACTTGCATCTTGCAGGTAAAATTTCCCCCACCCCGAAAAAACACTATGCATGGAACGAAATTTGCCCATTTCGTTGCTCCATCTATGGGAAAACTTTATATATCGCCGGTTTAGAGAGTCCCTACATGCATGATGAGTCATGAACGGTCAAAGATCACAACAAGTAAGCGCTGGCGCGTGGTCACCATACGATGTTAAAGACATTGCCTTTAATGCCCGTGACGTGAACAATGTATACATCAGGTACCATTGACGAGTCAGGAACCGGAATTACCCCCCTCAAAAGGGATATGGATTCGTGCCACGAATTTCGTGGGGACCTGATTTTCTGGACCCGCGCGCCGGCGCCGTCCGAGCGGTCACTCGAGGGCGCGTTGTGAGCATTAACGTGCCGTTGGTACAAACCTCTCGTTGCAACGCTCGCGGTAGCGGGTCGACGACGCGCTGCGCGCGGCAAATTTCGGTAAATTCGAGCAATTTCCGAGCCGCAACAATTTTTTTCAAAAATATATGGGAAAAGGTAGTTTTTGGACGACGGAGAACGCTGTAGACGCTTTCAGACGGCGAGATCGGCAGTGATTGGTGTCGTCACTGTTCACAACGTTCGTGCGGCGTCGAGGCAGGTAGGGTGAAGATGTTGCGCAATTCAACTGCATCGGTCACTAAAGTGCATTCACGACGCCACCTGGAGATATGTCAAGACGAAGGTCCAATCATATGAACAGATCATTTCGATGCTCGAGTCGGGTAAGATCTTTCGCGAGGCAGATGTTCCGAAGGGGAAACAGGCCACTGTGATGAAATTGGCTCTGGAGTACCTCGATCGGGCGCTGCGCAACTCGGCGATTTCTGCCGAGACGTGCGAAGAACTTGAAGTTCTCCGTCTTTGCCTCCCCAAGGAGGAAGAAGACGACGAGACCGACGAGGCAGGACAGAGTGACCGACCCTCGAGTTACACTCTTCGGGTATGGTGACAATACATTGTGTCTTTTAGCAATATCAGATCATTACATCACATCACCACTACCGGGTGTTTTCACCTTGCGAAAATTCGTGAAAAACTTGATGCGTGACAAACACGAGTGAAATCAAGCGACGCGACGCAAACTTTAGACGACCAACCGCTCCGCGTAAGGCCGTCTCATGCGGCGTAAGGCCGTCTCTTTTTCCGCCTTAGCAGTCTCGTCTTCATCAGCCTAATGATAACGATGAATCCCAACCCAGACGGTGGGCCGTGGTGAGTGGTCACCCTCGGGTGGATTGGGTCGAGGTAAAAAATCGAGGTGAGCGAAGCGACGGAAGTTGGTTTTATACCTCTGCGAATGAAGAGGTCCAGGTCTGAAAGTCAGGGAAGCGGGCGTCGAATTTGCTTGCGCTCGTGTTCACGGCGACGACGGCAGAGAGACACACGTCGGGATGGTTCTCGCGCAAGAATTCGATGCGACTGATCACGCGCTCGCTCGAGGTGAGGATGCGGGCCAGGGATGCGGGCTTGAGGGCGTACTCGGAGACGGCACCCGGACAGGCGCGCTCGAGCTGCGTGCACCGGTCGGCGAGCGTTTTCGGGTTGGTAGTAAGAATGCGCGGGGAGTACATGATCATGGCCTCCACGGTTGCCTCGTTCACGCCCTCGGCGGCGAGCGTGGCGCGCATCGAGCGTAAATTCGCGCTCACACTGGATGAAATGTTCATCGAGAGAAGCTTTGGATGCGAATCGATCAGGGCGAACACGTCGGCGTATGGGAGCAGTTTGGAGAGCGCTCTGAGTTTCGCTGGAACCGTGTGCGTGAGATCCATGCTCAAAATCTGAGGGTTTCTTTCGATGAGACCTTTCAAATTCACCGTCGGCAAGAGCTCGCGTAAGAACTCCACCTTCTCCGCCGTCCAGTCTAAATCGCAATAAATTACCCTCGGACACCGCCCGACGATCAAACCGAGATCACATCCTGAAAGTGACGCCCCCAACCACAGCGAATCTTCTAACTGCGCCAGGCGCTCGAGCAAACGCACGGGATCTCGATATAATCCAGCCTTGGTCGCCTGCACGATGAGTCGCTCTCGATGCGCCTTCTTTTTCACCCCAACCCCAATCCAAAACGCATCCAAAATCTTCCTCTGCTCTCGCGACAGTCGCACATCCCCCGCTCCTTCGACCTGCTCTACGCTCACTGCCATGAGTCGCTCAATCAGATCCTCTCGAAGCAACATCTCGCCGTGTCCGTGATGGTACAGTCTGCGTCCGCTCCGCTCCTGAGTGCGTCTCGGATCCGGGACGACGCCCGAGGACGCCTCCGCCCCAGGAACCGCGCGCGTCGAGGGATTCGACAACGACGATGACGACGACGCCTCCATCATCGAGTGTGCGCGTGCGATGCGAGCGTCGCCCCACTCGGCGCGCGCGACGACGGACGATGCGTCTTTCCGACGCGCTTTACGCGCTCGCGGCGCTCTCGAGATGCGCGAGACGCTCGCGCGAGACGCGCGAGACGCGCGAGACGCGCGAGACGCCACGAGTAACGTCGACGCGCGCGCGCGCGCTTGAGCGACGCCGCGCATCGCTCGAAGACGCCGCGCGTGCCCAAGTGCGGTGAGGCTCGCCATCCTCAACCGCACACGCCGGCGCATGCGCGTCGTGGACGCGCGCGCGATCGTCCGTGCGATAACGACCCTCGCACGCGCTAACCGACGAATCGCACGGACGCACGCGTCGTCCAGAGCGACGCGCAGAGGGAGTTTCATGGCGACGTGCCCGAACGCGTGCTCGAGAGACACCCCCAAGCTCGCCCGCGACGAGTGCGAGCGCGAGCTCACGCAGAGACCGCTGTGGAGAATTCTTGAGCGCGACGACGAGTCTTTGGCCATCGTCCGGGCGTTCACGTCGAAGAATTGGTCGTGCGCGCTGGCATTCCTGAATGCGGTAAGCGTCATCGCCGAGCGGGAGGGGCACCATCCCGACGTGAAGATCAAGAATTATCGCGACGTCGTGGTGGAATTGAGCACGCACGCAATCGGGGGGGTGAGCGCGATCGACTTCAGGCTAGCAAAGATGATCGACGACGAGTGCGAGGCGACGTATTCACCGAAGTGGGCGCGTGACAACGGTTTGGGCGAATAGACGGACGACGGCGACGACACCGCGCGCTTCACGACAAGGGGTTCGACTCGTCGCGGTCCACAAATGATGTGTAAAGTATTTATGAATCCACGACGCCCGGAGCGCGCGCGACGATTGCTGCTCCACTCGACTCGTTCGCGTGTGGAGCGCGGTCGACGGCGCGTGACGTGTCAGTTCAACGCGCGCGCGCGCGTTCGCGGTCATCGCCCGTCGCGCGTTCGACGAGCGAGATCCACGAAACCGACCAAATCGGCGTGCGTCGCGCGTAAGAGAGCGTTGAAAACCGAGAGAGGTGTCGAATGTCTGATTTGGAATCGACCCCCGATGCGCGTGTCTCCGAGCTTCGCGAGGCCGTCGACGCTGCGCACGCGAGTGTTGTGGATGTGTTCTACCGTGCGTCGATTGCGCTCGGACCGCCGATCGCGGACGAGGACGTGGACGCATGCATAGCGACGGCGCGGGCGAGAGACGCGGTGCGAACGGGACGGAGCGCTCTGGCGCTTGCGATGGCGTATCGCGCGTGCGCGAGTGTGAGCGAGCTCGAAGATGAGGATGGTGCGCTGGAGAAGCTCGAGCGCGCGGCGGCGTGTGCGCGAGAGGCGGCGACGTTGATAGCGGATATGGAGGAGGCGAATACGAGAGAGAAAGTCGAGAGAGAGAAAACAGGCGAAATCGGGGTCGAGGTGTGCGACGCTTTGCGCGAGGCGACGTGGGCTAGCGTTTTACAGGGAAGATTACGTACGACTGGATGGCCTCCAAGTTTGCGGCCGAGCGATTTGCGTGATTTCGCGTGGTCGCTGCGACTCAGTCGGAGTGACGGCGGCCAAGATGCCAAGGGAGAAGCTTGCGCCGTGCGCGCTCTTCGCGCCCTGAGAGAAGCCTCCGTAGCGCGCGTCACGTACGTGGGTGAGGAATCGTTCGCTCACGACGATGTGGCTCTGGCATTCGTGGAAGATTTAGCCGAGGAGTTGCGCGAGACGTTTGCGACGACTGGCTCTCTGAGCGATCCAAGAAAGCCCGGGCGGCTGTTCGCCTGTGCGAAGGAGCTGGTCGATCAAACGCCCTCCATCGTGCGCACAGAACTCGTTCGTGTGGTGTTCGTTGAAGAACCGAAGACAGCGGTGGCGATTACGAGGCGATACCTCTCTCTGCTGGTGCACGCGGTTTCAGAAGTCATACAGACGCACGTCTGCGTCGCATGCGCATCGAGCGATCAACCGTGGTGGTTACACGTCGCGGACGAGTGTCGCATGTTCGATAATCACGTCTTGAGCACGCCGTACGCGAAGATTGATGAGACTCCGAAGATATTAGACGCATTAGTTCACGAGCATGCGCATGCCAAGGCGTGGATGGACGCTGAGTGCGAGCTTGCGACGTCACGAGCGAGCAAATCGTGGAGCGACGCAAAGTGTTGGCTCGTGAAGAGCGGAGACTCGGAAAATCGAACGCCTCGCGTGGCACACGACGTCGTTCAGGAGGTGAAGAATGCGTTTGAGAGCTCCAGAGGGCTGTCGAGATCTGATTGGCGTCTGTATTTTGTAGACAGAGTAGCGACACCACTCCTAGAGGAGTTTAGGGAGGAGTGCGAGTCGCGAGCGGTTGGTTCGAAAGGATTGGGATCGCTCGTCGCGTCGACTGGGAGTTGGCACTCGGGTGCGTCCGGTACGAGCGTGGTGGCAGCAACGGTGAATGCATGCGTATTCGTTGCCCAAGAGCTCCGCGTGCTGGCAGAGGAGACGCACGTGCTAGAATTTGGCGGCGAATCGCGTCTAGAGGCGCACGCGAGTAAGTTTGAGAAGTTTAATGCGCGCTGGATAGAGGCCATCTCGGACGCCGCGGTGACGCAATTCACGGACAAGGTGCTTGGAAACGCTTACACGGGTTTGACGCACTTTCAACCGTATGAATGCGTCAGGAACGACGACGAGGACGAAGATGGGACTCGGAATCCCGCCCCGAGTGCATTTTTGATCACAGCGCTCGGGGGCCTTCATGAGCGCGTCGAAGACGCACGAACAGCGCTCGAAGTCACGTCGTTCGAAAAGTGTCGACGTGCGATGGTGAGCAAAACAGCTCAAGTCATCGTCGACCGCATTGTGTGCGTCGCCATCTTCTCTAGAGCGGGCACGAAGCAGTTAGAGCGCGATGTAGTCGCGTACTTAGACGTCTTCTCGACGACATCGGCGAAGAACGAGGGGTCTTCCGCGCTCAGGTCGAAGATTCTCGAGGAGTGCGTGGCGGTGTTGTCGTGCGACGCCTCAGTCGCGCGAGCTCTCGTCCAAGCGCTTCGAAGCGACGGGATCAAGGGTCTGGCGATCGTGAACGCACTCAAAGCCGAGCTTAAGATATTTCAACTCGACGATCAAACCCTTCTCCGCGTGCTCTCCCGCCGAGCGGACTCTTGCAATGTGTAGAGGCGATGCGAAAGCACGAAACAGTTGAATACAACGACCTCTGTCGTCCCTCTCATTGACAAATCGATTGCGCGAGTGAGCGAGCGAGCGAGCGTGTGAACTTAACTGCAACGCTTCCTCCTACTTTCGACTGCAGACCGCTAAAACAAAACCTACTCGACACCGAACCCGGCCGCGCGCCTGTGCGGCCGGCGAGCGCAACCCTCGCTTGACGGTTGGTTTGCGCGTCACGTCCTTCGCGCGTCCGGATCGTGCACGATCAGCTCCTCGATGCACCAATCCTCGTACGAGCCATCCGGGAGATATCTTCGAACGACGAACGGCACTCTCTTCTCCCGGAGCTCCTTCCCCGCGATCTCCAACGGATCCGTCTCGCCCTCGAGCTGCACGAGCACCGGCGCATTCATCGAGATCTGCAACGCGCGCGTTCCCAGAACCCTCGCCCGTTCGTACTTCGTCATGTACGGCGTCGTCGTTCGCAAGTGTCTCGGTACCGCCCCACCGGTTCCTCTTCGACCGTGCGTACCGAGCGCGTCGCCTCGCTCGTCGCTCTCGACGATCACCCGTCCGTCCGCGTCCCCCCCCTCGAGGTCTCGTTCATCCTCGTCCTCCGCCGCCTCGAGCGCGTCGACGACGTCGTCGACGTCGTCACCGTAATCCTCGCGCTCGTCCTCCATCGCGCGACGCGATCGATCGACGTTCGACGATCGATCGACGCGCGTGCGACCGAGGCGACGGCGCCGCCGCGACCGAGGCGCGTCGACGTCGGCGCACGCAACGCAATCGACGCGCCGCGCCAATGCGCAGCGACACCACGGGCGATTCGTTTCGTCTGGATGATTGTACGTCCCTAGGGGTGGGGGAAATTTTACCTGCAAGATGCAAGAGCAAAATTGCAGGTGCAAATTGCAGGTGTTTTGGGGCGTCTTGCGCAAGAGATTAGGGGTGGGCGCCCGCACACGCGGGTGTTTTTAAGGGGCTCCGACACGCGATTCAGGGGCGGCGGCGTCAAATTATCGTGTGGATTAGGGTTTAGTTTAGGGTTTAAGGGTGATCATATGGGTAAACAGTATAATTATAATGTTCGGACAAATGGCATCTTCCTACCTACTCTGGAATATGGGGGCATTTTGCACCTGCAAGATGCAAGTGCAATGCAAATTGCGGCAGTTTCGGGGTGTCTTGCGCAAGTCCCCCGCCCCTAGAAATGCGCGCTGATGTGCCATGATGACGTGTTGACACTGCACATCAAATAATTATTTTCGCTGAAATTCACGTCCAAAACACACGAACTTCGATCGGACCTCTTACAGCTACACGCGCGCAAAGACAATTCACGTTTTTCACACTTTTTTCCATTTCACTTGTATTTCACGTTGTTTCCCTTGAGATATTAGGGGTTGTTTTCATACACGGCTCAGTACCGAAACCGGCGGTCGGACAGTGTCGGAAGAGTACATATCGATTAAAATACCGTTGGAGAATTATGAGAGAATCTTTGAAGAACTGCTTCATCTACGAGTTTGAGGATTTCAGCGCCCCCTCTCCAACCCCATCAAATCGAATAAATCCAAATTCAACGCACATTTTGTGCAATCTTGAATACTTTATGTTCGGTTCTTTGTGGAAAATGTAAAAGGTTTCGTCGTAAAGGCGTTGGAAGAAACGTTTCGCCACTGGCTCGCGTGAAACTTCGAGCGCGCCGCGGCCGAACAGTTGCTCGCCGACGATCAGAGAGAGCCACGACTGATGTATTTCGTTTGAATTTGAAATAATCGTGCCCGCGTGTATTTCCACGAGCATTTCATCGACGCGGACGTCGGCGTCGAACCAGCTGCCGTACGTGCTCCATTCGCAACCTTCGCAATCAATTTTTAGTATGTCTATAGTCCTCCCTTTGTGACCCAGCGCGGCGACGATGTCTGCTAAGCTTTTCAAAGCACTTCCAGCGGGTTCATGTGCTCCCCCTAATCCCCAAGGATGAAAGTGGACGCCGCACGGTTTGTTTCGCGGGTTCGGCACGGTATGATCGAAGTTCGATCATACACGTGTTCGATCATCGAACACGTGTATTTCGCACGCGCTCGACACATCCTGCATGATTGCTTCTTCGAAACTAAAGTCATCGGAACTCCCGACGCTGTAGATCAAACAGTCTGTTCCCTTCGCACGCAGACGGTTTGGGTCGCACAACCACTTTCCGCCCTCGCCAGCTGGACCTATGCGTTCTTCGCGCGCGCACGTGACGGCGGGCTCTACGTTATCTTGGTACCAGCCGTCGGCTCTTTGCGTGCCTCCGCTGGAGACGGTGTCGAAAAGCGCGTAGCGCTCGAGTTTTGCGTCGTTAATCGCGCGAAGCGCGCGATCGAAGGCGTCGTCCGCGTCTTTTGCGACCGGAGCCGTCGAACGCGTCTTCGGTTGTACGCACGAGTGCTCAACGATCACTTGACCACGCGCGGACTTGACGAGCAGACGCCGTGCGAGCAAGGCGAAAGACGTCGCGATGAGCAGCAACACACAAAGTTCACGCACGTGCTTCACTCGCGCGAGCGCAGATCGGTTCGACGCGAGGCGAAACATGAAACGAACGACGAATATTGGGGGAAGAGACTGGAAAAGCGAGCGTTTCGTCAACCAACATCCACGAGCACGGATGCGTTCGCGAAGTCGTGGCCGCTCCGCGAGAGCGGAGCGGTAATTTTCTCCTTGCAGGTTGTACAAGTTCGTTCGCCCAAATCGTACTACGAAAGATGACGACGGTCGCGTGGGTGCGACGACGCGCGGACAGCGTCAAGTTAGAAGTGCGATGGCAATCCCACGCGTCATCGAGATTTGCACGCTGTAAAACTATGCGAGGCATTCAAAATGGGTCTGTTGTCGTCCCTTTCTGGCGTTTTCGTCACGACGTAGTGGCCGCGTCGTCCGTTTCGCTTGAAGCCATGTAACTTTGAAGCATCAGGTTTTTCACGAATTTTCACAAGGTGAAAACACCCGGGAGTCGGTATGACGCAATGCCATGATACCGCTAAAATTCACAATGTATGAAGTATTTGGCGCTTCGCGACTCGTCAGTCATGTAGGGACTCTCCCAACCGGTGGGATATAAATTTTTCCGGTCGCGGCGAGAACACTCGATTGGAATCTGTGTGTGAAGACATTGTCGCCGTACCAGTATACTACTCGCCTCCGAATTGTTACTGATCGAAAAGCGAGCTAGGGTTTGGTTAGGGTTTATCTAGGGTTTGGGCAGGATTCAAGGTGTCTTTTCAGACTTTTCACTTTCAACAACCCGAAATTACCGTGGTACCGGTTTAGGTTAAAATTAAATATGCGACTTCGGTGTTGTTAAGGGTACATTGTTGTAACTTTTTTGATATTTGTCGTTTATGCTTTTTGAAAATTGTGTTTGACGCGTCATTCAACACGCTATCCAACGCAATTAAGTTTGCTCAATTCGGCGCAGTACTCGCAAAGTTACATTCGATTAAGCGTCGCGGTTGGACTTTGAAATGAATCCAATTTACCCTTAAGGTCGACGCCGCGGGACTTAGCGACGCGCGCGACGCTCAGAAATGGGGTAAACGCGGAGTGCGCGATGGTAAACCTACGCGTGCGTCCAGATCAAGCGTCGGATGGCGATTCTGATGACCACGGCGACGACCACGGGTGCGGATGTTCGCGAGAGATTTCACTTTTCGCGTGCGATTCTAGTTGCCTGTGGAGCCGATCGATCGTTCGCGAGTGCGTCGCGACGCGGCGGTTTTACAATCTGAAAACTGACGGGTGCTTAGTGAACGTAGTGTCGCTGCGCTTGCGCTCGTGGGGCTTGCTGGAAACGACATCCAACGGCCGCGAGTCGCACTGGGAAGGGCGCGCGTGGCGCGGCTGAGGAGAAGGAGACGGCGACGCAGTGAATTGCGTCGCTTAAGTGCTTCGAGGAAGTTCTATGTGGCGAAAAACGCGGGTTTGGCGATGACAGATCCCAATTATTGGTCTCTTGCCAAGGTGGCGGAGAAGTTCAAGTTGAAGTCGCCGAACCCGGTCGTCGTTCTGAGCAAGCATCTCAAGGCGCGTGGCGTGAATTTGCGAAGCATGAAAAATGGTGGCCAAGACGTTCAAGAAGAACTTGGTGATCAAAGAGAAGTTCGAGACGATGAAAATGAGATCACATCAGGTCCTCAGAGCGGACGAGTTGGCAATTCCGGGCGAAAACCGCTGACTGAATTGCAAGTGTACTATCTCTCCATTGTCACTCCAGACTACTCTTCGACGAGTGGCATGTAGGTGGTCTACCCCACCAAGTTTTGTAAGACTGTTGAAATGAATTATCAAGCTGTTCTGGCGTGTCCTATACGCTTCAAGCTCTTCTACACGCGTAGCGTCAAGGTGCGAAGTAGTCCGTTGAATCATTCGAGCCCTTGCTATTCTCCTGTCCAGTGCTGTGTCATCCGTGTGTACGACGGCATCGACAACTTCCGCAGGGTGTCCTGCGTTTCTGTCCCGCCGCTCAGCCAAACGATGCGCGTAATATTCCGCGTCCTCCACGTCACGCTCGTGCCACACCTGGACCACAGCGGCATCTTGCTCTTCAAAATCTCCCACATTCACAGCCTCTAGCCGAGAGTTGTAATCTCGCAACAACCGTCGCCGTGTGAGTATGTTGTGTAAAACAAGACACGTGCGCCACGTATTTTTGATTTGCTCGAAGTCACGAGTAAGCGACGGTATTCGTAGTATTTGAAATCGTTTTTTCAGTTGCCCAAAACACCTCTCAACATCTTTTCTCACTGACTCCAGTCTCTCGTTCCATGCATACTCGAACTCCGTCGGGGCGGAGATTGTCGCCATTTTCGTACAGTGCGTGTTGAAACCACCATCACATATCGTATACACTCCTTTCGCCGTGACAGTGTTTCCAGACACATCAAGTAAATCATACTCGTAGTCCGAATACAGCGTGTTTGTTTGCAGTGCGTTGTGGTACTCATCATCTAAGATAAGAGTTTTATCGTTCGACGCCCCGGGACCTACACGCGTCGCGTGTAGCACGATGCAGTCATTATCGACTGTGACGACACTCGCGTACGTTGCTGCACCCTTGCGCCCGTTATAAAACATTCGATTGGTCACAGCGGGTGCAGCATCCCAAGGCATGTGGACAACGTCTACACTACCGACGCAACCTGGAAAACCCTGCGCGCGATACACGCGCTCCGTTGCGCGTATACTGTCCAGTGTTTTCGGATAGTGCACGTGCCTCGAGTAATACGCGTCACTCGAGAAGTACGGGGCGAACTTCCGCGTGAAGAACTCTCTGAGGACAGGTACGGACACGAATGCACACTCCGCTATAGTCGGCCAGTGCGCACCACTCGCGAGACGCTTGAAGCTCGCCATGAGCAATAGCCGAGGAGGCACACTCGCACTTCTCGTTCGCTTCCGGAAAACCCCTGCTGTCGTCATTTCATCCTCGAAATCGCAGAACAACTCGTGAGGAATTCGAAATCTCTCCTCGAACTCGTCCAACAGCAACGGATGGCTCTCGACGTTCTCGCGGTCGATGTACTGGTGCCAGAAGCCCGTACCCCATTCGCCATACCAGCGCGCGTGGCCCTGGCGGTCACGAAAGCGCGGCCGCTCCCGCAAGAAAACCTGCCTTGGACGTCGAAACGCCTGCTGGGAGCCGGCGTCAACATCCTCTTGCGATGACACGTCCTCATCGTCGTCCTCGTCACTGAAGGATCCAGTAAGAAGAGCGGTGTGGATGACGGCGAGACGACGCACCGTCTCCGCGCGTCGCCTCACCATCGCGTGACTCACACGGCGCGACGTCCGCAGCCTACGCGCCCGCGACTGACGTCGTGACCGCAATCGCCAACCACCCGCGTACATGCACACTGTTTAATCATATGAACTTAAACCCACCACGTCGTGCACACCGCGATGTTCCACGCCAAACCCTGGACGTCGCTAGACGCGCATGGTCCGCGGCTTCCATCAAGCGAGCGAGCGCGCCGTTTCTCGCGCGCGTCCACCGTCGAGCGCCGATAGTCTTCTGTTCTTATTTTCGCAATCTCTTTTTCACTTTTTCAAGCAAGCTAAAAAATGGCCCCAAAATTATAGAGTTTTAGCAATCTCTTCTTCAGCCTAAGGCTGTTAGTTGAGGGACACTTATGACTTGCGAAGATCGCACGCGATGCTACTTCCCACTCATCCATGTCCACATACGTTTCTGACGCAGTTGAGTTACTCGTGAACTGAATGATGTGATATTCAACCCATGAAGGTGCAAAGTATAGAGAGTAGTACTAGGGATTTCGAAAATAATGTATGTGTCGAAAAAACCTGAATTAATTAACATGCACGTTTTCTCGCGCCGTCGCTCGTCACTCCGCGTCGCGCGCGCGCCCGGGCGGCGCGGAGGGACATCATCTATCCGTTTCTCGCGAGATCCGACCGTTTAAATTTGAATTCAGCGCGTGGGTGTTGACGGAAGACGACCGTTGGAGCTCGATGGGCGTGTTAATCTTTCGAGCAGATTCTGCCGCGCATGACGGGCCCTCGCGCGCGCCGGAGCGCGTCGCCGACCGGGTCGACGGCACGTAACGGCTCTAAGAAGTCGTCTCCGCGATCGGAGGCGCGTGCGCGCGCAGCAGGGGCGACGGCGGCTCCAGTTCGGTACGACGAAGATGGGCGCGTCCAAGTGGCCAAGGATGCTCGCAAAGTCGCTGTTGCTTTGCTCGCAAACAAACGTCGCCGGGCGCTTTCTCCAGAGAATATCGCAAAGGTGAACGCTACGGCATTATTTCTCGTCACTGTGAGCTTCTCGTATGGGTTGATCAAGCAACACGCGTTCCTCAACCGCGTGAGGCGATCGATGGAAGAGGAGGACGTGAAGCGCGAGGCGCACGCGCTGGTCACTGAAGAGTGCGCTTCGACTTCGGATGCGTCGGAAAACACCATGGACGTCGCGGATGATCTTGCTCGCACTCGCTATGCAGAGCACGTACGGAATCCACAGCCGTTCTTCGTCCAAACGGTGCACGCATTCAGTCGCGGTGACGTGACGGCAATGGAGGCTGTCGCAGAATTGCGGCGCGTCGGTGTACGGGTCACCAAAGCGTTTATGGAGAGCGCGCGCTTGGCTCTGTCGTTCAAGGATCCTATTCCGCATCACTCCGCGTGTGAAGACGGTCGCGGAAGGCCGGGCGCCTTGAGCGAGCCGTACGTGAAGCAACTGGCAAAGATTGTCAAGCACTACATCAGACAAGGGATACGTTTGAGTCAAGCAACCATTCTATCGATCGCGAGGAACTTCTATCTCGATGAGCACGGCTCAGTTGCACCTCTGAACGCACTCGGATCGGCTTGGTTCTATCGATTCATCGCAAAGAACGGCATCGAATCGTCTCTGTACAACCCGTTGGATGCGCTGAGAGCGAACTCGGCAACTGAGCACAACGTGCGAAACTTCTTCGAAAGGGTGGCGCGCACGGCGGTCCGATACGGCTTCGCGGTTTGGAATGCCGACTTCGACGTGAATTCTAAACTCAGTGAGATGATCATTTGGATTGAATCGAAGATGAGCCGCGTGTTCACGCTTGACGAGGCGAAGGTGCAACTCGCCTACGAGAAGGGTGTGCGGGGTGTGCGCTTGTTGATTATTCGCGGCGAAGATAACCAGCGTCCGGCGGTCACGGCGAACAATGCTTTCTCGGCATCCGTCATGGGTTGCAGAAATCTTGCCGGTGAAGCGCTCGCACCCTATTTTGTTTGCAATCAGGAGCCAGATGTTGATGATGATTTTGACATCCCCGGAACTATCGTGGACACCACCACGGGTGAGTGCCAAAAGGCTCAATGGGTCCGAGGCACGAAGAAAGGATCGTTCGACGCGTACGCGTTCGCGACGTATCTGAGAGATCATCTGGCGCCATGTATTCCAGACTTATCCAAGGAGAATCCGGCGATGGTGATTTGTGACGGCGCCTACACGCACGTCAAGGACGAAGTTGTCGAGTTATGCGCGGCGATGGGGATTCTACTGATCGTGCTCCCGCCTCACTGCACGCATCTTCTACAGGGCGAAGACTTGTACCACTTCGGCAAGTTCAAAGGTTCGTTTCGACTTATCCGTGCTGAGATCGAAGCTGCGAAGTCACTCGCGTCAGCATGGTTCATACAGCAAGTCACGCGCGAGGGTGTGGCGGTTTCATTTGGCCAGTGCGAGTTCTGGTACGCCATCCGAGAGGCATGGAAGGGCGCCTGGACGAAAGAGGCAGTTGGAAAGGGATTGAAAATGCAAGGCCTTGTCCCTTTCACTCGTGCGCCGTTTTGGAAGCACTTTCCAGATCACGTTCGCGAGCGCCCCGAGGAGCCTGAGGACGCTCGTGTACTTGACGCGGAGTCGCGCGCCGAGCGGTGCGCCGAGCGCATATCTATTCCAGGAGCCCCTGGATTAAGAGTGATCGCTCGCTCTGACAATTCCACGTTCAACATGAGTTTCGATGGTAGTCCAGAGTCGTTCGCGAGAGCGCCGCTGAACATCGAAACTATGAAGCAAGTGCTCGAGAATGTGAACACTGTGAACATCGCAGACGCCGACCGTAACATCATCAACCAAGTGTTTCAAGATGCGATGGCGAAAATAACAAGTAAGGTGGTCACAACGGTGCGTAAGAAGCGGAAAAGTCGTAGATACGACCGCTTCGACGAGGTGACGGAACCAGTGATGGCCCGCCTCGCAGCTGACCGCGACAAGCGAGAGAAAACGAAGAAGAGAACGCACGATGCAGCTAAAGATACCAGCGACGGCCGATACAAAAGCAATACGGACGCCGTTGACTTCGTCAAGGCGCTGTATGAACGCTTCGAAGCCACTGGTTCGCTGGAGAAGTCGCTTACAAAAAAAGAACTGATACACGTGATGCGCGCAAAGCGAATTGAGCTCCCGCAAGCACCGAGCCTGGAGTGCTTACGAAACAAGCTTAAAGAGGTTGATGAGCGGCTCTACGAAGCAAACTTGAACGCACCAAGCGTCAAGATTGGGCGTAAACCGAAAAGACCACGGCAAACGCCCGCCACGCTCACTGAAAGCGCGCATTGCGAGGTCTCGTGTCAGGAAGACACCACGACAGCGCAACTTGCCGGCGACGAAGCGGTCGGCCAGATCGTCGCGGAATAATCTCAAACTTTTACGAAGTGTACAAAAATGTATTTCAAATCATGATGCAAAGTTTCACGTAGCGCTGCGCTCGCACGACGTCGCCATATCGAGTCGAAGACGTCAAATCTAGACCCTGAGGCGCTCCAAAATTCACCATCGGCTCGAACCATTATTTTTCAGAAAATTAACACGAAAATTCATGATTTTCGTCCGAACCTCGACGACGCGATACTGAGCGAGAGACGACGAGCGATGGCTCGTTGGAAAGCTCGTAAGTTTTCCTAAAATATATTCTCGAATGAGCGCAATCGGCGCACGCGTCGCGACGCTAGACGCGCGCAAACACGAAAATTAACATTTTTCATACTTTTTACCGAAATCCCTTGTAGTAGTAGTAGTAGTAGTAATCCAAAAGTAGCTGGAGTGTATTGATGCACCATCCGGGAGTCGAACCCGGGTCTCGAGCTTGGAAGGCTCATATCCTAACCGTTGGACTAATGGTGCGTCAGACGGATACGTGTGCGCACGGAATAAATCCAGATTAGCGTTCGCGGGTCTGAGCATACCTCGTCTCAGACTTATGTCTCATATCTTGCTCGTCGTCTGACGAGTGTTGATTACAATGTTCCTTCAGTTGTGTCAGGGCCCATGCCTCTCTCCGTCAATATATGGTGTCGATATCCATTTCCGTCGTGTAGTATTCAATAACGATAAATATCGAGTCGAAATTGTCACGATATCCCCTCGCCGATCGGTAGTATTAATTTTCTTGACTCGCCTGTGAATGTGTTCGGCCAGCCGTTTGGTGATGGGGAAATCACTCACCACCATAATTAAAACGCTGAACGAATTTGCAATCTGCATGTAGTCCGTTTCATCCAGATTTTGCAACATGCCCTTCGTAAGGCGATGTTCCCACTTGTACAGAACCTTCAAAAAGTCTCGGAAGCTATCTTCACAGCTTTTACTGCTCAACGATGAGCGAAACTCTTGAAGAGACCAGCACTCTCGTTCATACACATCTTTTGACCTCCAGCGTGAGAGGACTTCAAAACTATGTACCATGAAAATTGCGAAGAACTTGCTTTCTAGTTCGCTGCAAGCATAAATGGACTGTGAAGCACTCAATAGTAAACGATCATAAAAATGAAGAATACTGAAACCTGGCGAATCGTGTCGACCTATGAGGTCGACGAAGACTGCGCTGTACAAAGCGTCTGCATGAGATACTTTAGATCTTAGGAAAACAAGATTTTGCAGCACGAAAACAACAACAGCCGTTCTGTTTCTACTCACTACCCATCTCGACATATTCTCCTGCAAGTATTTTCGGATGTCTGCATAGTGTAAGAGCAAAGATTTCAGTTCAGCGGCTAAATCACGGACTCGTTGGCCGGCCGCATCATGTAAAGATGAACATTTTTGTTCCATGCGCGTGCTTTCCGTTGTGAGTGAACTATCGACAGACGCCTCAGCTCCTAACTTTGCATACAAGTGCTTTGGCACATATATACTTTGAATATCGAATGTCCAAAAAGCCATATAAAGCTCTGGAGAAATAATTTCCCAAAACAATGGTGAGCACGTGGCCTGGACAGCTTTTGTAACTTCACCCCAGTACTGGAGATCTTCATCTATACAAACTGAGTCTCCTTTGAACTCAACGGACGGAATAACTTGCAAAAGAACTGGACGATAAACGTGAAACGCGATCGATGTATCAATCTTGTGCTCCAAGACAAGACTCTTGAAGCTGGGTAACATTTTCCTGTATTCGTGTGTGGTATACGCTTGCTGTATGAACGATATGTATTGAAGCAGAATCACGTGGCACTCATCAGAAAGTTGACTGATGAATTTGGTCTGTGAGCTTTGAGTCTTGAGTGCCACCTCTTGGCGACACTTGGCTACAGTAAGCAATAGCGGGATCGTATGGTGACCATTTTCTAATGCTATTTTCAACCTCATGATGCCATAAGCTGGCCCTTTCTGACTACCTGCATGGTCACTGTAGTTTCGGAATAGTTCTCCTGTCGCAGCTCTATGAACTTCGCTCATGCTCATATCCCTGAGGATATCGATACGAGTCAATTTCGATACAAGCTCTTTCAGTATCAACAAATTCAACACTTGCCCTCTGTTCACACTTTTTAAAATATATTGCAGAAGGCTGCTGAGCTCGATGTGGTGATATCTCCGATACAATGCACCGCAAAAAGTACAAAGCGCAGAAAACCAACGCGATATGTTTTGACCATCCTCTTTGAGCTTTGGTTTTGTATCGGAGAACTGTCGGATAGCGAAGAAAAGTAGCGTATCGAGCATGAGCATGTTGCAGTATTTTAAAGAGTGCACAATTTGGTCAATCATGTTGGGATATGCTTGAACTTGTTGTAAAATTGCGCTTGAAACTGATAATGGATTAGAAAGGGCAAGTTTACCCAGCTTACGACCTAGATCTTTTACGTTTTCATTTGAAAGTCTTCTTAGCACTCTCTGGATTGCTCGAGCGGCACTTTCTTTTGTTCTCTTCATGTGAGTAACACATCGGACGTCTGTTGCGTATGCATAAATCTTACTGCGCTTCGAGAATGGTAAATAACAAAGCACTTTCCACACTAGATCGCATAAAACAGGATTAGGTCTCAGAAGTGCCAAACCGGGCATGATACATTTCGAGAGTAGGACGTCAACCAAGTCCACGTCGTCTGCCGAGGTTTCCAGTATGAATAACAAGTAACGAAGAAGTTGTTCTGTCAACACGCTGTGGCAACATACATTTGGACCAAGAAAAAAAACCGCTTGAACGACTGCTGGAAGCTGTCCTCGGTGCATTAGGCGGATTTCACTTTCAATAACCTGTTTGATGTGCACACACACATTTGCACGAAAGTCCGGAAGTGCGTGAGTAGTCACACCGAGTTTCAAAAGTTGTCGCAGTGGTCTTTCTAGTGTAGTCAATGCATCCGTGATGCTAATTGAGTTTAAGAAAACCATTTTAGAGTCATGAAGACTTCTTTTGTCCACTGAAGCCTTGGTAGTAAAAATATTGTTATCTGGAAACAAGTAATGATATATTGTACTGATGTCAATACCGCGGTAATTAGGTACCGGTGACTCCGATGACGATATTGCTGTTATCATTCTAAGTAGATTTTTTCGTTGAACTCGAGTAGCACAGCGTAACATCCGAAAACCGAATAGCTCCTCTATATGCCACTGGACTAATAATGCCCACGTCTCCGCAAGCTGATTTGCACTTTTAGGCTCAAAATCACTTCCAATCAGCGCTAACATAGTGTCAAAAACTCGACGCGGATCGAATTGAAAGTCACCACCAATAATTTGACTCTCATCTAACATACATGCGATCGTTCCACAACCTTTCAGATATTCAGCCTTAATGGTTGATAGCATACGTGCAAAGCCTTCGAGTTCATCCATAAATAAGTACAATTTTTGCAGTTGGTACGTCACCTTGGCGTTGATCCTCGTTAGTTTTCTATACCATTCCTCCACGGCGACTTTCTCAGACTCCAACAAATCTCCGTCGGCGTAGCTCAGTACATTCGCTATGGATCGTGGTTGCTCGCGCCAACTCCGACTTTCGATTTCTCTCACTCCCATGACGCTTTCGGAATTCTGATCTGCGTGAGAGCATACCCAGATGATATCGGGTTCTTGACAGTCTTTGTCACACACGTCCATGGGTGACATCAATCGCTAGGCGTGTTTAGTCAGTTTTGCTCAGGTTGACAGCTCGTCTGAAGCGCGCTAGTACTCTTGGAGACGTCGCGCGCCTATTTGCGTATGAACGTCACAGTTGATGTCGTCGGTTGACAGTCCAACTGAAGTGAAGACGAGTCGGCAAGTTGCGCGCTTCCTCACGAGAGGGAACAATTGCCGCCGTGCCGACCTTCAGTCTGAAGGTCTGAAGGGTGCAGACCTCCAGATGAGCTTCAGACACCAGACTACTTGCCACGCTCCGGTACAGAGTTTCTTTGTACTAGAGGGGCCATTAGGAGAAAACAGACAAAATTAATAATGGCGTTTGGGCCAATGGCGTTATAGTATTATCAGCCTAGATAAAATCACCTCTCTCTTAGTCGGCCCTATAAGTTCCATAATATATCCGAAACTGTACTAATGGACATCAGACTAAGAATGTTACCGCAACGAAACGCACGCTTGGGCGAGCGTTTCGGAAGGAGTTCGTCGCTTCGAACCGACCAGACAAACAACGAGCGCACGCGCATGGAATTTTAGATCCACAGCTCGACCGAATCATGGACATCAGCATGACTCTACCGTGGTCATACGTCATAGAGTTCGTTTCGTGCACGGATGAACTCGAGGTATGGTCCGGAACCTTATTAAACTCGTCAGGAAAAGACGATTCGCCGGACTCGAATGGATCCCCCCCAGGGCACTCAACGACTCACATGCATCTGACCTCTGGACTAGTCAGTCAAGTTGTGCTCGACGGCTCGTTCAGTGACGACGTTCTTTCGCGAGCGAATAGGTTCACAGAAACCGCAATCGCACGCGAGGCTTTTGTAGATTTGAGCTTGCTTGGAATAGCGACGCTCACATCAGAGTGTCGTTTTCTCTTGCACTTCTTCTGCATCTCAGCCAATCAGCTGCAGTCGAAACTACGAAGTGTTCAAATACGCGAACAAGTATCGCCCATGGGAAATATTCGGCACTGGGACGCCAACGGTTCAGATTTTATGATGGGAAAACAGAGTTGCTACGTGGTCGCCGTCTCTCAGATGGAGCGAAAATATTATGATAACTTTGCATACGACAGTCCATACAACCGTGACAAAATCGCAGTAAGCGACCATGTACTGCACATCAAGTCCAACATACCTGTCGACGATGAGCATCAAACTTTCTGTGCGAGCATTCTGAGAGATGTTTACAACTTTGACTCAGGCTTGTTCAAGATATCACGCACAGAAGTTGAAAGTATGGACCCTCAACAACGATGCTTACTCCTCTCAACAAGCGACGTATATTTCAACAATTCAATGCATAGTTTCAAATCGAGCGCGTTGCGCGTTTATGTCGGCATCTCGTGGAATGATTTCGAACAAATATGCAGTATATACGGTCCGCAACTTTCTACTTACAGGAATACTGGTACTTCAATGAGCGTTGCATCAGGCAGAGTCGCGTATCACTTTGATTTCAAAGGATGTGCTGTAACTGTGGATACGGCATGTTCCTCTTCTTTAGTAGCTTTAAAACATGCATTCAGTACGTCTATGAGCCTCCAAGACTCTATGGCACTCGTTTGTGGTGTCAACCTGATTTTGACGACTACGATGACGCTTCGTTTCCACGTTGCCGGTATGTTAT